AGGCGATCCATATAAAGATCAATTGACAGCTGTTAGAACGCCGCAGAATCCCATGACCCTATCGCGGGTTCATTCTTTATTTACCTATGATAAAAGGCAAATTTCACTTTGATAAAAAGGACAGATATCAACGCCTTTCCCTTAGCAGACCATTTCTGTGTTTCTCTTGGCTATGAAACGAGAGTAATAGGCCTTTTGCATCAGTTGATCACGTGCTCAACTTTCGGTAAACACGAAAACAGTTCGCTTTTGAAAAATTTTGTTAGCACAAGATGAAAAAGCATATTAAAATTAGGTCACCTGCATGTTCAGCCGTATATCTCAAAAGTAGCGATTGCTACGGCCGCCAAGAATTGGAAGGATTTGTATAAGAAAACTTTTGCCATCCATTCACGCTTGATTTCCCAAGAAAGGTTTCAGCGTAGACCTCATTTAAAAGGGGAGAGTTTAGAAAGTCTAATAAGTCTTTCGCCATTATACTTTATTATCCACATTTCGTAAGTGGGGATTTAGTTCTGTGCGTGGTCTTTGGCGTTGTACCTAAGTATCTTAGTTTACGTTTAAGGCACGAGTTTACAAGTTCGAGAACAAAAGGTAACCGACAGGACAGCAGGATCGTGAGGGATGATTCTCAATTTCCCAAAAGTTGTGGCTGTATTCGTACGGAATAGTTTTATTTTCCCTAGGAGATGTACCTTTCCCGGACAAACTGCATAATTGATCTTTTAACGCACACATTAATGAGGTCACAAAGAGTACAAATTACCGTAATCCTCTTAGCTGATAAAGTGAAGTTGTGAGGGTACGTTACTAGTCTTGTCCACTCTCTTTACAGATCCCAATCAAGAGTGTAATCTTCCCCTTGGAGTAACCTCTGTAAACAGCAACGACTCTAAAATCAGCTGGCTTTCCTTTCATGATTGGGGTACGTTACCCACCGAGGCCAAGCTGAACAGCTCTGGTGGGTACCGAGCAAACAAGAGTGACCCTGAAAACGAGAAGTTTGTACGAGTAACATTCACCAAGGAGACCATACTGACTGGGGTGGCGACCCAGGGGTTTGGCGATCCCGCAGTTGATGAGTGGGTTACTAAGTACATAGTGAGTTTCGTCCGCATGACAAATGGGGAGGAGCAAAAGGAGGAGTACATTAATGATAAAGACGGTAGACCCAAGGTAAAAACTTCTCTTTTGTAAAGAGAACACTGCCTGAAAGGAAACCCATGTTGAGAAAGTTTTTTTTTCCACTTTTTATTAACAGCCAACTATTGTGGACACCAGAGCTAGTCCTCTATAGGGCAAGGGTGACAGCATAGAGTGCATACGTTATAGTATAGGGGACACTACGCGTTCTCTATCACTGGTAGCATGATACCTTACATTTGTATCAACAATGTTTGGTCTTTCTGCTAATAAAAGAACATCACACATGTTATTTGAACATGCATCGGTCAGAATAATTCTGTTTTCTTAATACACTGGCAAACTGTGTAATTCATGGTAGAGGCTTTTCGGAGTCTACTATTATCCTAAAAAATAAGGTCACCAATGCCATTATTGACTATCAATAGTGACGTATAATGCTGCTTAAGTACTCGTGAAATTGTTGGATGCTAAAAAACAAAATGTTGACATTTGTAGACATTCCAAGGGAACAACGATACAGTTACAATTGTCCGCCACAACTTTAAACCAGTGAACGTAAAGACGGTGTCTATATGCCCGCAAGATTCTCACAACAACGTCGCCTTCAGATTTGAACTTTACGGATGTACAATGAGTAAGTATGGTCATGATTTGAGCGAGTGATATGAATCTGTACTCAAAATTTCTACATAAAACATATTGTGAGACGGTGTCGGTTAAAAACGTATATCCCGGTTAACGCTTATCCGAAGTGAGTTCAAGGTTATTGTTTATAATGTGTTAAAATCTTCTTCTACGTATGTTTGAAAGGTGTTTGCAAAAAAATACTTAATGAAAGTACGGTCAGTTGCCTTTTCCTCTTTACAAAATTATTCGGCAAACAAAATGAGAACACACACCAAATCAATTCCCTACGCTGGTGTTCAAATCCATAAATTCTACAACAAGTAATAACTTTAACAAGAAGATTTAATTACGTTAACAACCTAAAAACTGGTAATAACACTAAAATGGATGTCCTTGAGAAAGTGTTTACAGTAAGTGGGGAAGTTTTGCATCGCTTGACCTTTTAGTTTCATTCTTTCTAATTTTTCTCCATTTGAGACACGGATTGCATTTACGCGCAAAGTCAATTAACTATAGCGTCATTAGACACGTGACCTTAGGATTATCCCTCAAAAGACTTCTTAATTTTAGAGGTCTTGACATTCTTATAGTGTCCGCCATGGCTACAGGAACAATTTAGTCCGCTAGGAAAAACAGTGTTCTTCGCAGGGAATCTAAGATCAAAGAATGCCCTATATCGCATTGTGACGAGGACAGAAGAAAGTAATCCGCGAGAAGGAAATGGCTTCACATAACAGTGAATCACTTTGATTTACAGTTTGGGCATAGCCTGAAAGATGAGAAGAAAGGTCCATCAAAGGAAATGCGCGGCGCTTTTTGCTTGTTGACTTTTTAATTACGTGGATAAGTAAACAATTCTAAAAAACGTTCTTGTTTATTGACAGAAAAATCTGTGGTAGTGTGGCTTAAATGGAAAAATCAGAGTTGCACGTTAGAAATGTTGTGGCACGTACAGTCTGACGGGTTTAAGGAGAAAGAATCCGAACTTCACCTGAAAGAGGTAACAACTTAGCAATCAATGGTGCTGCTAGGTAACTACTAAAAACTATGTGCGATAATCAGGTAGGCTGCATTGTCACTGGTAACAAACATGGCTGGACAGTATAGGGTTTAACCCTGTTCGCCTTATGAACTTACACACCTTCCACACATACAGATAAGACTCAGTTTGGTACGGAGTGTAATGATAGAAAAAAAACAAAAAAGATAACTGTATTCAGAAAAACTGATTAATTAGAAACATCTTTCAGATCGAAATGGAATTTTGAGATGTTGGTTTACGAAGGGAGTGGAAACAGAGGTCTTCGCATGGCATAGCTTGATAGCCAACTCTAATTTCAAATAACGGGCACGAAATGACTCTTATTCAAGACTAAGCCTTTCCACTAGACTTCCCGACTTGCCTTTTGAGCTGTTCAGAGTAGGCATGGGTTATCAATACAGTTTCCAACCAGAAATTATAAACCTAATCTAAGGCTCCTGCCCAATAAGATCCATATAAAAATACTCAAAGTCAAACTTGCTCTTTCACCCTGACTACCCCTAATCCAACAAGCCCAATATATTCACGTTGTCCATCTCTCCTTCAGCTAGGCGATATAAGCAGACTTCCCGGAGTTCAAGTGGTCAGCCTTGTGCACCTAAGGTACTTGTGGCGCTTTTTGCAGTTAACCTCGAAAAAAGTTGATAAGTAAATAAACCTCTTCTCAGAGGATGGCTTACCGGAAGATATCTGAACGCCTTGAACAGGCTAACGCTTATACCCTTTCCATGGGGTTTTGCGCCACTGCATTAGTTTAGGATACGTTTCAATACATTTTTTGGCCACTTGTCATGGGTGGTTTTAAGTGGATTTTCCGTATCTCTCTTTGCTGGATGTATAACATTGATGTAACTTAACTAGGATACACCTACAATTCAGATGACTGAATGATGCATCATAAATAACCTTTTGACATGAATGTCTCGTGTTAGTGGAGTCAGAATCTGTGATTTCAATACCTTTCCAATGTTTCAAAAATAAATGCAACTTTTATTTAAGTTTAGCGGCACTGTCGTGTGTTCTTTAATGTTTTATTATTTTCACTTTAGGCCTGATTATAGAAGTGTAATTGTTGAAATCAAGGTTGGTGGGGAAGAATCACAAATGGTGCAGATGACCGAAGAAGTAAAGAAGATTATAAAGAGCTCAACAGAATTTGACCATGATTATCTAGTTGTTAAGGATCCACAAGGTACGTATTCTGTGAAGACAAGCTCATCAAACTAACTATTTGATAACGAAATCAGATTATTTCTGCACTTGGTGGAGTGCTGGTTGGTTATCAAAACCTTGTCGGAACAAAGCTAAATACACATTGAACAGCGGAATTTGGTAAACAAATTTAATTATTTGAATCAACCGATACAGCTATACGCAACATAGATAATTACGGCTCGATAACTTCAATTAAAGGTGGACAATTTAAGATGTCATCTAGAAGATCAGAGTGGCAAGTCAAAACTATGACGTTCAGCAACAAATTAAAGTATTACGCACTACTTTTACAGTCCCCCATTAGCTTGATGAAAGAATGCTCGTGTTTTAAACTGTTTTAGATAATCCTTTTAACTGTTGGCTGTAGGGTCCTCAGCAATGAATTTCCCTCTTATGCCTTTTTTACTCAGCAACGCCACCCTGTAACACGCCGAATATCTCAGAGATCCTCTCTCAGGATTATGCTGATCATGAGTCACTTCCTAAAATCAACCGTTCAACGTCCTACACTGTGAAAGCATTGATTACTAGCCATACTGATATGAAAGCTAAAATAACGTGGAAAGTTGCACATCTGTTACATGAGGATCATACAACAGAGTTACAATCAAATTTCCAATCTACAAAGATAGTTAAACAACAAGAGGTTGTTCTTAAAAGCAACACAACGACACAGTGGGAAATATATCCCCGCACTCTAAACTATGGCCTATACTACGTGCAGGTTAGGATAGAAATGAAAAATTTACCAAGTTGCATAAACTACAATTATGGGTTTCTGAAAATCGAATCATCACCGTTGCAAGCTATCATTTCTACTGAACCTTCCCAAAAGAAAATTGTTAAAGAACTTTACAAAGAAATTCAACTAAATGCTTCGGGAACTTTTGACCCAGATGTGGATAAGGCTGATAAAATCGGGTTAAGATACACTTGGATTTGTGCCAGGCAGGGTGAAAAGATGGAAAACATTGCTTCACTGCCAGTTATTATACCAAGTAAGAGAAAACAAAGATCGGGTGGGAGGGGATGTTATGGCAATGGTCCTGGAAAGCTGAACTTCACAGGTTCGACAGCAGTATTGTTTCTGGATGGCATGGTCGTAGACAAGGATTATATCATAACACTGATTGTTGAAAAAGACACAAGGAAGAGTAACGTTTCCTACAACTTTAAGTTGACCAGCACTTACAGCTTCAGCCTAGGAATCGGGTAAGTCGCATTGAACTCTTATCAATATACTAAGTGAGTATAACAAAGATGCCTTGCTGGCAAACAGTGTCGTTCCCAACAATGTTTCAGAAAGGACAAGCACATTTCAGTGTGTGTCAACCATCATTTTTTTTAAACAAGCACTACCATTTGTTATCATCATTGTCATATGCACCTCATTATAATATCATAATCAACTCAAAGAATCTTATCATTACTTCATCCTCCTGCTTTTCCACCCCTCATAATCATACCACTGATTGTTATCATCATCATGGACAAGCTAACAGGCCATTTCTGAGTTGCCCCAAACCTCCGTTTCAAAGGGAGGCTAAGTGCAAAGAAATGCATATGAAAATGATTCCTTTTTATGCAAGAAAGGCTTGCACTTAGCCTCATTTTGAAAGTGAGAGTTTTTGGAACTCAGAAATAGCCTATTGGCATCATTCACCTTGACCATTGTTATTGCCCCCGCAGGGATTTCGCCCAGAAGGCGAAATCCCAAGGAGGCACTCTAGTAACTTGTGCATATATTAAGGAAAGTACTTACAGTTGAAATATACAGTCATACAGTCAATATAGAAAAAATCTCGATTTGCTTGAATGGGGCCGCGAGGAATCAGTAGGTAATGCAGGGTTCTCAATAGATTTTTAAGTAGGAGGTGATCACTGATAAAGTAGGAGGCTCTTCAGCAAAGCCAGAGGTGTCAAAACAAAGCAAAGAAAAGTGACTTAAACACAAAGTAAGCGGCTATAAATCCCAAAGTAAGCGGTGATCAATCGCCGGGTGCCGCCTTCTATTGAGAACCCTGGGTAATGATGACGTTTCTATTGTTTGCGCCCGCAAGTACGAAATGGTTAGGATGACGTAAAGACAGAACATCCCCAAGGGACCACTTAGGTAGATTTTGTGACATTTATTGTGCAGTCATACTTCGACACTCTTTTGTGTTACATGTCATCAGTGACATTCTGTGGAGCAGTTGTTTCAGTGAAAGTTATGGACCAAAATTTAACGACACTCAAGCACAGAAGAAGTTATAAGGTGCATATAACTGTGTATATATAAACACTTGGAAGGTTTGCCAGACACGAGTTCACAAATCTTTCATTGGAAACCTTGCCAGACACTCTTTCTCTCTCTTTGACCGGAATAAGACTCAGTCAGTGCTATATCCCCCTACTAAAATTATACATCCTACTTTTTTCTTGTTTTGTTATGAGAGAAGATGTTTATGTCACAAACACAGGACAAAGGAAGAATTCTTGGTTTGCATGGTGGCAATGTTGGGTGGTCAATACAATAACAATAATATTTTTAAAGAATTTGCATGAAAATGGAATTTAGTTCCCAGAGGATGGAAATGTTCTGGACAACCAAAAAGGCTCCCATGACATCACGTGCAAACCAGCAATATGAGTCCAACAATGGATTGACACCCACATGTGACATCCTCCAAAACACCTGGCCTGCTGCCCTACCCATTGAGTGACAGTGAGGCTCATGAAGAGCAGGGCCATTTTACAGACTTATGTTTCACAAGTGAGGCATCGAGCATACTCCTAAGGTCGGCAACGTCAAGAACATACTGTTACTATGGTACAAAGTGTGTGACTTTGTTACCCAGAAAAACTGAATTCATCGCGCAAAGCTCATATGTGAAACTGATGGTCAACATCGACAGAAAGTAGCTAACCCAAATTAAATGCTTTCTTTTGATGTACTGGCCCCGGTTTATACCTTATTTACAATAATTAACGAAGTCTTATAAGCTTAAGCTGAAAAAGACTCGTCAATCTCTAAATCTGTTGTTCTCGGGTGATTTTCTTTAAACGGTAATATGTTAGGTCGTTTGATTTGGTTTGCGCTGCTAGAAATTATATTCCGTTAAAATAAACGCTGATAACAAATATCAACCGGTTAGGGTAAGAGCTTTTAATATTTCACTCACCTTCTCGATTTAACCCGTCATCTTTTCCGCCATCTTGCCTTCTCACCAAGCTTAGTAGCCGCTCTGCATATTGCGTATCATGTAAGCTCACTAATGTGTCATTCTCGTTATACTTTTCAGGTGCAAAAGAAATTGCAAAGAAAAAGTGGACACGAAAGAGAAAATGATATTTGAAGGATTATGCATTGGGGAGGTCTGCAAACAAAGTAACACACGCTTCACCTGGTTGCTTTACCGAAAACGAGATAGTAGATTGGTGACGTTAACCAATAATAACAATCTTAAGTTACTAGAAATCGAAGGAAATGTTTTGGCAGAGGGCGAGGATTACGAGCTTCAGCTCCACGGATATTTGCCTAACATGAAAAATGACTTTCAGAAACACAATATTACTACAAACGAGTCACCCCGTGGCGGGAATTGTACCGTGGACAAATATGAGGGAACTGTTTTGGAAACTAATTTCACGTTTACATGCTCTGGATGGAACAACACTGATAAAAACCTGTTATTCCAGTTTGGATACTTAACTGGCGCCGGCGCGTTCGAAATTCTGCAGGAAGGAACACAGAGTTACCTTCATACAAATAAACTTCCCCTTGGAGACTCTTTGAAAGATAACACGCTTCGAGTGGACATTTACGTTAAGGATGAGTGGGGAGGGTATGCAAACAAGAGTGTTAATGTCAAGGTAAGGCCACGGCAATGTCCCACTGTCTGGTCCCTCCTAGCGCACCGTAAGACCTATTGATATTACAGTATTTTGGTTAAATGAGGAAAATAAGTATATAGATGTGAAATAAATCGGAAAATGACATTTACATGTGATTGCATTTGCTATACCTGATCATGAATAGCCAAAAAAAAACATATATGCATCCCCTTCCTTAACTCTCTTTTCTCGCAGGAATAAGTAAAGGTTTTTGTTTGTTTGTTTGTTTTCGTTTTTTACTAACAATACCTCTCTTGTTTTGGTATACCGTTTTTTATTTTTTTTCGCGAAGGTCCACCCTAGCAAAACAATAAACATGCCTGCCCTGTATCAATACACTATTGGTAACCAAAGTGAGATGGCCAAACTATTAAAGAGCGAAGATGGTGGGAAAAGCGCCATGCGACTCGCTAACACTCTGCTGTCTGTCATGTCTGCTGCTCCAGAGAACGAATTCAAAACGGAAGATAAAATTAAGGTTCGAGATTTACATTCTTTTTATTTGTCAGTAGAGAGTAGGGATCCGAAAGGTTCGATATCATGAAGAGCAATTTACCTGATGAACGTAAACATGTAAGAACTACAATGATATAATGTCAAGATGCCTTTGCACTGAGCAGATTAATATTTGAAATCTTAAAAACTCTTTTGGACAATATTTTAACCAGTTCCTCGGTTGCGCGGTTCAAATATATGAAGTTCATATATTCATTATTTAATCCTTGCAACCGTCAATTAATCTCTTGATTTTGATGATTGATAACATTTTTTCCTTGTCAAATAAAGCTCAAGAACGAGATGATAAGACATTCTTCCAAGGTCAAAGTTGACGATCTTCAGGGATTACTTTTGGTTACTTCTGTGGTAGCGAGTGCAACAAACAAGCGTGAAGAGCTCTCTGAGGAATCACAGGTAAATTTTAATAGTCAATGAACTTGGAAGGCCGACGGTGTTTAACAAAACAGCGTTCTAAGCCTTTTTCAGTTAGCGATCTTTAGATTCAAGTACGAGGATAAGATTTAACTGTAATTTTTATCGCGTATTCTCAAACATAGACACCTCGCACTCTTCGCGAAATGACAAACTTCTAACATTTGATAACTTGTTTCCGCCACTACTACGTTCTCTCTAAAACCCGTAGTAAAAGGACGACTGCTATCACGTTTTTCCCGCCAAAAAGACGATGGTTCACGCGCGCGCACCACTTGGTATTTAGAAAATCTCGTTCTCGCATTCGTCCTTTTTCGTTTGCCGCTGTTGACAGTATTAAGAAGCCTTTCACTCTAGGCTAGACCCCACTTAATACAAGGTAATAATTAATAAGTCATCTGTAATTATGTTGATTTTTGTCGTTGTTTAAGGGAAGGGGGCGGCTGTGTACTGCAGGCTAAAAGGGAATAATAAAGTTATGTAATAGCACTATAAATAGCTAACAATGAATTATCTCCATACAGAGGAAAGCAGTTGACGTTCTGGAAAACATGGCAAATAAGTTCCAAAACATCTCCTTAAGTTACCGCCAGGATACAAACGGAATTCAGATGGCAGGAAATAATTTCTTGGTGGGAATAGGAAATGTTCTTAATGCTTCTTCTATGACAATCGAGACAAACAATCAGGCGGAAACTAATGAAGAAGAGGGAGACAAGAATTCGAAGAAAGCAAACGCTACCAAGGTATTTGCACCCTCCAAGAGAGCTTATTTTCAAATCTTGTTAAAAAGGGTTTTTTCTTTGAGACCCAATGACGAACTCACGCTATATTGAGACGTCGGTAAGGAAGTGTTCGTTATTTATCATTTGGTGGTGGTGGGGGGGGTTCGGCTAAATCATAGGACGCAGAAAACATTAAGATGCTTCCTTGGTGGGGAGGTTATTAGACTTTCAAGAAAGCTAGTGGGAAGGGGGGTCGTGAACGTTTTCTCATCTCACGTGGACCTAAATGCTACATCGGCTAAGTATAAATTTATGAGGAACTTCATTGAAGTACCATCAAACAACTTTTTTCTATCAAGCAGAATGACCAGGAGTCAAATTTTTTTTAAATTATCGTTTTCAACGTTTCTGCCATCAGACAAAAGTTCTCGCGCAAAAAGCCTGGAACCTTATCGGTAAAGTCGGGGACAGTATGTTGGCTACGCGGAAGGTTCATGACAAGCCACTGAAAATGGAAACAAAAGCGATATCCATGGTTCTTAACAGACAGAAACCAGATGAAATCAGCAAAAAACCTAGCCAAGTTAGAGGCAGTAACGTGACATTCCCAGCACCTAATGTCTTATTAGGCTCAAAAGCGATGAATATGACGCACGTGGACTCACAGGTAAAAAATTAGCCTGTTCCATGCGTTCAGATCGTACGTGGAGACGGCGCAAAGAAGCGTGAGCAGAAAAAAAAGGGACGCCGCACTCCACTATCCGAACGCCTGGAACAGGCTTCTAAAAAATAGATGAATATATCTAAGATATAATTTTTCGCTAGGATGTGTTGGCTTAATTTGATTTACTAGTTTTAATGTATTTCGTAGCAGACGCTCAAGTAAGGATTTTGACACTATCAGAATTATAGAAAGAGGGATTTTCGTTCGTACATGTATGTGAATGAAACTGTTCAGACATAAAAAACAAATTAAAAAGATTTGTAAATACGAGTAATCGCGGTGGAGTTTTTTTATTCTCTCAAAACGAGAGGACGAGGTAAGTTTGATTTAATACTCATGCAAAATGTACAGTTCGAGTTTCGACAAGTTTTACGTCATCATTACTTGCCGGCTGTGAAAACATCTACGGTCGCTACTGCATCTAAAAAATAAACTATGATCACTTCAACCCATAATCTGCCATTATCGTCTTATAAGATATAAAAAGTCCTTCATTTTCTGCTCGCAGAAAATCATTACTTGCCGCTGTGAGGACATCTACGGTCGCTACTGCATCTAAAAAAATGATCACTTCAACCCATAATCTGCTATTATCGTCTTAAAGATATAAAAAGTCCTTCATTTTCTGCTCGCTTGCAATTTCTTTTGCTTTTATCCCATCAGTCCTTAATGGTGGCGGGTATCGTGAATAAGGTCAATTACCGGAGGCAGTGTGACCATGCGGTAAGAGCATGGGACATGCAATCGAGAGGCCAGGAGTTCAGGTCCCGTTTCAACCGCTAGATGAATTGCTCAGTGCAGACCAGATCCTAATCGGCCACGCTTGTAAAAATAGTTTTCCTAGTGCCAGTTGTTTTGATTTTTTTTCTGTCATTTGCCCTCCGATAACCTACTGCGCTATAATCTTGCCGATGGCAAATGAAGGAATTTTCATCATCATCATTATTACCAGAAGAATACTCTACGTTTCAAGTGGATTATCAGAAGAACACTCTACGAAAGATGGGCCAGACAGACAGTTTTCTCTCGTAATGTTAGTGATATAGAGAACCGCAGAGCTGCCCCTTGTAGTCAAAATGTCGAGAAAACCGAAGGTAAAATAGTCAGACCGGATGAATAGCGACTTATGAGAGTGTAAGAGAAGGGCTAAGGAGCTGACTTCCTCACAAGATCCACTATGTAATGCGAACGGGAAAAGACAGGATACATCATGGTTATGAGAGAACTTGGTGAGCAGAAAGGGTATGGTCACCTCGGCTTAAAAGGGCAAAATTTACGCTATCAAGCCTCGAGGTTAGAAAAAGCACAAGAATGTTCTGTGGATAATTGCGTTCGACGTTAGGAGAACGCAACACATAATCTTGGGATTCCTGTGGACCTTTTTTGTGGTACTCATTTCGTCGTACGTCTTCATTTTCTGCGCCATCTTCAACAATTTATCTCGTGGGCACAAAAATGTTAAATACATTCAATTAATTTGAAAGACGGTATTGGTAATGGTTGCGTGGCGCAATGGATTATCGGAGTAGGGCAAATGACAAAAAAAAATCAAAACAACTAGCCAAATATTATAATTATTATTATTATTATTATTATTATTATTATTATTATTATTATTATGCATGCGTCAAATAAGAAATGACCAACAAGGAAATAAGGCTACAAATTTGTAAATTTAAAATCAGTAGTTGTTAACACTGCTACATATTATTACGTTTTTTCCTAGATACTTTCATTTGAAAACAACCCCTTCTCGTGGGAAGAAAGTGCCAAACAAGTAAGCTCCGCTGTGGTCAGCATCGATTTGAAAAATGATAAAGGGGAGTTATTAAATGTATCGGGCTTGTCTCAAGAGATTGAACTAAATATCAAGACAGGAACACCAAAGCAAAGTGTGGAACCAAAACAAAGCTTTGTGAAACCAAGCATTAATAACAGCATGCAATACCACAAAATAAAGATTTCCTCAGAGGGAACGGCAGTTACTTTGACGATAGTTCCACAAAACGAAACTACTCTGCAAATTTATGTTCGTCATTTCAAGCGACCCCTGGTAGATACGTTTGATTATATGACCAGAGTCCCAGATTTTGCTTCATGTAAGAAGCGCACGAAAAGGAGTGGAAAGACCAATTTACAAACTCTGGGGCGAGATGAGTATTATAACTGTACCAGAGATCCATACGTAGTAGTTATTCCTAGTAACGTAACTGGAAAACGTGGCGCGTTTTTCATTGGAATTCGATTACCATATCCTGATGATACCGAAGGAAACAAGCGTAGACGCAGGTCTTGTTCAGGAAATGGGAGGCAGAAACGGTCTGAAATATGTGTGGAATTTAAGGACCCTCCGACTACCCCTCCACCGACCCCTAGAACAATTATCCCTACCTACGATCCCAGCACCGATGTCAACTACACTTTGGCTATTTCAATGGCAACGTGTTTGTATTGGTCAGAAACAAAAGAAAAATGGACATCAGAAGGATGTAGGGTAAGAAATTTAATTTAAATTTTACGCGCGTAAATAAAATAGAGGTAATGTATGGAGGGTCGCGCGTATACGTAAAAGTTGAATCTTGCGCAACTTTTACGTTAACGCGCGATCTTCCACACATCACTTTTTATCTATTTTATTTACGCACGTACAAATTGCGCGATAGTGGAAATCCACCCGAAGTTTGTATATTGTTCAGATTCAGAGTAGGCATTTTGCAATAGTTGGTCACGTGATCAACTTACTGTAAACACGAATATAGCTTGCTTTTGGAAACTTTTGTTGAAGGGAACTTAAAGAGCATATTAAAATTAGGTAACCTGTAAATTTTCAGCCGTATATCTCAAGAGAAGCGATTGCAACGGCCGCCGAAAATTAGAAGGATTTGCATGAGAAAAACAACTCTTGCCACCCAGTCACGCTTGAGTGGGTTTTCGTATAATCCTTGTAAATTTTAAATATTTAAACTCTCGTTAAATCTCTCCTTTACTCATTTAAGGGCTCAAATTGCCTGTCATGAAATAAAGGAGATTTGAGCCAAGTAATGCTTAAGAAATATTTCACGACAGTTTGAAAATTTTGACATTTACAAGGATTTGTATGGAAAACTACTCAAGCGTGACTTGGTGGCTAGAGTTGTTTTTCTCATAAAAATCCAAAACTGCTAAACGAGCCCAGCATACGCCCTGGTCGTGTAATAGGTGATAAACACTTCAATTTGTGTATTAATTTTGTCATACGGAAAATAAAAACATGAAAAGGCTTCTAAAAGCAAGCCATTTTGTCACTCACAATCTGACAAGGGAGTGTGACTATTGAGTTAAAATGACTTTTTATTGTTTTAGCCGAAACTGTATCAAAGTTATATTTATTGTGAACGGCACTGAAGTAAGTCAATCTTACTAAAAGTTCAGTGTAAACAGTTTTTCCCACAGTTGTTAACAGTTGTTACCACAGTTTTAACAGAGTTCAGTTCTTCAGTTGACTTTTACAGTAACATAATGTTTTTTAAGCCATGGGACTGTGACAGGTACAGTAGCGAGGGTTACATATCATGCACTTTAACTGCAATTGAGAAATACTAACTGAAACGGAAATGTAAAAGTAGATACTCAAACCAAAGTAAAAATACTGTACTGCTACTACGAATTGTACTTATCATGTCCATATTCACTATCACCCGGCCCACCCCATGACTTCAATGGCCCATATTTTTACGAAATGGCCCATAACTTTTGAAAGTCAGGGACCATGGGCCCATTAATTTTTTATCTATTTTGCCTTTCCAGTCCCTGTCGTCTGCTCATTTTCTTGTTTTTGAAGTTGTCAACTTAAATCTCACGTTTGCCGTTTATACGTAAACGCCAATCAAAATCTCCTATTGGTTATGAGTTAGCCGAAAAATAGGCAGGACTTCAGAATGTAGCGTCAGCTTAGTACGAAGATTACCACTGAGGACTTGGCTAGACGTGGTTGGCTTCAGATGTTATACGTACCCCTGACATGCAAATGTTACTGAACCACGCTCACCACCTGTGTTGTGTTTGCCTCTAGGTTAAAAAGGTATCTTGAGTATGCTTTTAAAAAAGTATACAGCTGGGGGAAAAAGTTACTCTTTTAGTTAAAAGCTGTTCTGAAGCAGTGTCATTGTTTAGTCTGCGCAGTTGTGGGTTTTTTTTAGTGTGTAGATTATTTAATTTTATGGGAATGATTTTAATAGTTTAGCAGAAAAGGAGATAAAATTCTTCTGTGCCCTTTAGCAGCGGTTCCGTTCAACGCTTCAGTGTTTTACAAATGAAATGTTTTATCCTTCACTCAAGGGAAAATTCTCTTGCTCTTTTCTCTTAAACGGTAGAGTTTCTTTGTTCCCAGGGGTAAGATGCGAGAAAAAATGTTTCGAATGTACAGTGATTATTGCTTTTTCTACTCAATTAAAGGCTGGTCCAAACTCAGCTAATGGATCTCTCCAGTGTCTCTGTACACATCTTTCTGCGTTTGGTGGCGATCTCTTAGTTGCACCGAACCCAATTGACTTTGACAAAGTCTGGGACGCGTTTAGTAACCTTTTGGAAACAAAGAACTTCGTTGTTATTGGCACTGTGTGTGCAATATTTGGACTATACACCATTGCAGTTGTCTTTGCAAGAAGAGCAGACCGCAGCGACAGTCAAAAGGTGAGTAATGTTTATTTTATAGCTTCGCCAAATAATGGCAGACACTACAACAGTGTAAGCTAATTACTGTGATCCCACGCAAATCACTCCCTTCCCTAAACAACACATGGAGGAGATAGACCATCGTGCTTTACATCCCCTACTCTTTTACATCTACAGTTGTGTGAGTTCTTTAACGTCTTCCTCTAATTGATGAAGGAAGGATGAAGGAGACGCAATTACGCATTCGTCTACATAGCTCAGTTGGTTGAGCACTGCAGCGCTAACTCAGAGGCCATGGACTGGCGGGGATTGAATCCCTTTGAAACCCCCTAATTTGCTTAAATTTCGATTATAACTGCGATGGTCATATTTCATTTAGATTGTTATTATTATCATCACCATCATCATCATCATCATCATCATCATCATCAGTCTTATTAATAATAATATCATTATTGTTACTGTTATGATTTTAAGGTGACCCAGGTGATTCCCCTGGGCGATATGAACGCAGATTACTACTGTTATGAGCTGACAATATACACTGGACTATGGCGTCGCTGTGGTACCTCCGCAAATGTGGCAATTATGATTTATGGGGAAGATCGAGATACAGATGTTATTCCTCTCAATTGTAACAACATGTGTAACAAGAAACTTTTTGCTCGGGGGAGTGTTAATACCTTTAAGTTATCTCTCAAGGAATCTTTGGGAGATCTGTCGCACATTAAGATATGGCATGACAACTCCGGGGATAATCCGCAATGGTTTATTAATAAGGTGGTCATCAGGGACCCTAAGACCGACACCACGTGGGTTTTCATGTGTAACCGCTGGCTAGCGGCTGAGAGGGACGATGGAAAGATAGAGCGCGTGCTTTACTTGTCAACATCAGCGGAAATCAGCAGTTTTAGAAACAAGTTTTACAGCAGAGCAACGTTGGGGCTTGGTGACGGACATATTTGGCTTTCAGTAATTACCAGGCCTCCGACGAGTCCGTTTACACGCGTCCAACGTCTGTCGTGTTGCTATTCTGTATTGATGTCAGCTATGGTTACAAACGCCATGTTCTATCAATTCGGCGCCGAAGAGACTAGCAACGCATTCCAGATCGGTCCCCTAATCTTTAGTTGGAAGCAGATTATTATCGGAATTCAAAGCGCCGTACTTGTGGTACCAGTCAACGTGTTGATCGTTTTTATCTTCCGTAATATACGTTCCAAACATGATGTCACACATGCTTACGATACAAATACTGACAACCCTAATCCAGCAGGGGAGGGCACGCGCAAGTCAGCCTGCAAGTTCCCGCGATTTTTCCTCTACGTTGGTTGGGCTATTTGCATTTTGGTCTCCATGACTTCTGCCGTTTTTACAATTTTCTACTCTATGATGTGGGGCACTGAAGTGTCTAACAAATGGTTGACCTCGATACTGGTATCGTTTACCCAGGATGTCCTATTTATTCAGCCTATCAAGGTTATTATCGTGGCGTCTCTATTAGCGTTCATTATTAAGAAGGCACCTGAGGACGAAAGCATTCCGGAATACCAGAAATCTGTTTTGTATTCTAAAGTTAAGGTAAGCCAATTACAAGCTTTAGGTCTTCGTATCTGCCTTGAACAAAAAGGAAATATATTGTTTTGTTATGCTTCTAAATTTGAGCTCGCAGGCCGGTTGAATTATTCTTCGAGAAGGACATGTTGTAATTCTGGCCAAACTGGTAGAAATAGCTTTCAGTATTTTACTTCATTCATACTCGTTAGCTAGCAAAAAGTAAACAGGACTCCTAACCTAAACCAAGAAAGATTTTGATATCCTAGTTTCCAATTGTTTCAAGGCCTCTTTTTATTACATCAATATTCCTAGAAGAAAGGGGTGGTCAGCACTTCCAAGCTCTTTTAAAAACCTGGAGCACCTCAAATGAGTACAAGAATCAAAAGGAAAAGATCTTTCATATCTTACAAATTATTGCCTGCATGGTTGACACCTATTTCAGACGAAAAATAAACTATATTTTGTTAATAGGGTGAATCTCATGAGCCACTCAAGCCAGATCAAGACCAACTCAGATTATTCCGCGAGTATCGCCTGAGAGTGCTGACCATGGCTCAAGTTGCTATCGAGTTGTTTTTCTACCTGACATTTGCCTGGGCACTAATGGTGATCTGTTACGGACGGAGGAATACTGGGCACTATTGGATGACAAATGGCATTGACGAACTTTTGCCTCGCTTTAATAAGGTAATGCACTTCATGTTTGAGCCAGCGAACGGTCAGGACAGCGGAGGGAGAAGTGGGTAGGTTTTATGTGCAGAACAGAGTGTCGATCAAGACCTTACCTAACAATAGCAGAAGTCATAATAACTGCTCATTAACAAGACAAACCTAGCACATACATTTGCAATTTCTCTATTTTTCTTAGATTCGCGATACTAATACATTCTGGGCCTGGACCAGGAAGTACTTTGTCCCGGCGATGTACGACCTCAAATGGTACGATGGGCAGCCATTTCAATACAAGGATGGTTTTGTATCAGATCTTTCTAATTTTATGGTGGGCATGCCGCGATTTAGACAACTGAGAGTTAAATCAGGTACGTTAAGAGTAAGACTTTCTAAAAACACTTTTTAAACATCAGACATTGAAAATTTAAAGATTTTTGCTCAGTATACCATTGTTTGAGTTATTCTTAGGTCGATTAGTAAAGCCACTTTTTTTCGTTGCATTTTGATGTGAAATCGACATACAACAGCATCAAAAAAGATAATCAAACTGAAATTGGTAGACCATTTCTGTTTCAAGGTTTTCCTTAATGTTGAGGAGTTTCCGTATAATTCTCAAATGCTCTTTCTACTTTTTGCCCGTTTATCTTACCAGGCTCCTGTCCAATCGCACCTCAGTACCCAGAATTCCGGAAAACCTTACATCCCTGCTTTCCACCTTACAAATTTACAAACGAGGACCAGACGCGCCACAGCATGCCTAAATGGCGGGAAATTCCAGTCAATGAGACAGCGTTCCTGTCGGAGTTCGAGCTACGTCAGATGTGCCCGAGACCTTGGCGCTATAACAAGGCAGAGGAGTTGCACACTATTCCTATTCAGGTGTGACTACATTTATACAAAATTGCTTAGTATCAAGGCCTTCCAGATACCCAATTGTTTAAGTCGTAAGAAAAACACAAGCGCATCCACGAAATCAATATGTGTTGAGAGAATTTGATAAAAGATCAAGGCATTTTCGCTTAGGTGATCTGTACACGAACCGAAATGATCCCCGACCCCAAATGATCCCCCAAATCGACCTAAAGACGACCCGAAATGATCCCCGACCTCAAATTTTCTCACACGCGACCTGAAATGATCCGGGATGATGGGATGACGTTTAATTCCCGAAGATGCTAGAATTACTAGAACAAAATAAATTAAAGAATTTTGACTCGAATTGTTTGAAGTGTTGAAGTATTTAAAAATTTTGGACAATTTGTAAATAATTATAACTCCTTTTTAAAGAATTTTGCAAGAAACTTTAGAGTTTAAATTGGAGGTTTAAATCGCGCAAATAGCATCTCGTTAGGCCCGGTTTAAACGTCAAATTTCACATGTGCCGAGTCTGGTACCCATTTGGTTCTATTTAAATAAGTAAATCCACCATTTTAGACGTTGAATCACGAGGAGTTTTTATAGAGTTGGGAAAGAATTGACAATTGTGGGCTATAATAAATTAAACATGATTTAAAAATTCGATTCGGCGCAAAAGACAACGGTTGAACTTCTGTCGAGATTTGACTGGCTCAGTCGAAGATGCGACAGAAGTCGTGTTGTCGAATTTGAATTTTAGTTAGACTTCAAACTTCCTACACATTCAATACCTGAATTAAAATTGGCAGATGTGAAATGCGATGTTTAAACCGGGCCGAGATGACGCTCTTCAAAAAGCAGAATAGAATCACAGTTGTAAACCACGCGGTCCGCGACATTGTTGTATCCGACTGATCTTCCGGTAAAAAGTCCAACGAAACAGACTGCGACGAGACTGGGACGAAACTGGAAGCATTTTAGCACTACAGTTCCGTCTGTCTGGTATAACGACCTCCACATTATTTCGGAAACGTAAATTCCAGGCAGTCAGTATAACTGAAAATAACTTTGTGCAGTCGATTAGCCATTTTGAAAAGATTTTGCGTTTATAGCCGAAAAACGGAATTAAATCGCTTTAATCTTATCCCCGAGATAGAAATTTTTTCCCATTCCACTCCTATAATTCCTCGGGGATCATTTCAGGTCGCGTGTGAAAAAATTTGGGGATCATTTGGAGTCGTGTTCAGGTCGATTTTGGGAATCATTCGGGTCGGGGATCATTTCGGGTCGTATACAGATCATTTATTAATTGTCACAACCTAATCTCTTGACAAGGTATGGATATTGACAATGTATGGATGTCTAGGGGAAAATTGATGTTGGTCACCATTAACTCTTAAAAGGTTAAAATTTTATTGCTCGAAGAAAGGTTTGCGAGAGATTAAGATATAGTTAGTGATCTCTTTGCCCATAATTCTTTTACTTACCGTAATTCTACAGTGTAGAAAAAGGTAAAAGTAATAATCTGAACGCTTCTTCGTTTCTTGTTATGGCTATTTGGCTTAACTTTGATCGATTTCTTAAATCTTTCAAGCCACGATTTTCAATTGCAAACCTCTTTATAGTGTAGTCTAAACTTCAAACTTCTAGGCAAAACTTAATCTACTCTAAAGGTAACTACGTTTTATTAATTTATAACTTGGTTGTGTTTAGGGTTTGAGAGCGATTTATGGCGGAGGTGGGTTCGTCGCAGATCTTGGCTACACAAAACGATCAGCCTTACGTGTCATTCACAACTTGCAAAATAACTCGTGGATCGACGAAAGAACTAGAGCAGTTTTCATTGAATTTATGATTTTTGACTCCTCTACAAGCCTCTTTAGTGCTGTTTCTCTTCTTATGGAGGTTCTACCTCTAGGCGGTGTCTGCACATCAAAACGTATCAACACAATGTCACTTTATGGAGCAAGAACCTCGGGTGTGAGATCATTTAACAGCCTTTGTGAGCTCATAGTCATTGTGGTCGTATGCTACTTCATCATAGCGGAGATTGTGAAAGTGTGCAAAAAGAAGTGCACTTACTTTAAGTCAGTCTGGTCCTACGTGGAAATGGCGCAGATATTATCCGCGACAGCTACGGTCGTGCTTTCAATTTTTCGACGGTACCATACCTCCAAACTGGTGCACAAAATTCATACGAACCCATTCAAAACATCTAGTTTTCATTATGTCGTCCTCTGGTCGGATTTCGAGAACGTTTTGATGTCGATCTTGGTCTTCATTTTAACCGTAAAAGTTCTGAAGATTCTTAAATTCAACCAACACATATCTACTTTAGCATCAAGCATGGCGCGCTGTAAGAAGAAAATCATATCATATTCGGCCGTGTTCATGGTTGCCTTCTTGGCGTTCCTGCAAGTCGCTCTTCTGGTTTTTGGTAGTACTACAAAGGCTTACTCGAGCGTTTCCGAAGTTTTCCGAACTCAGTTCGGAATGTTCATCGGAGGTGAAACGAATTATCAGGAAGTTAAAGATGCTAACAGTATCATTGGACCATTTTATTTCTTTTTCTTTATGACAGCAATGGCGTCTATTCTCATAAACATGTTTCTGGCGATCTTAAATGAGACTTATAGAGACGTGAGAATTTATCCTGCCGATCGTGACATTGAGGAATATAAAATGTTGGGCGTGTTCCTCGATTACGCTAAGAATAAATTTGGAAGTCAGTTAACCTCGATGAAAAACACTAAGTTTTACCCTGAGAAGAAGAGTTACAGCGTTAAACTGAAACCAGTGAAAAGTGAAATAGAAAACAAATACACTCCAATAAATTGGAGCGCCTATGACTTCTGTCAAAAGACTCTGGAAGAGGAAGAGGCTACAGTAGAAAGCTCGTTTTTTAAGGACATCAAACGATGTTTACAAAACGTTCGCAGAGATCTTAAGGAGATGTCTCTCCTACCACGGTCACGTAAGTACGAAGTTCACAAGATTCAAAAGCAGTTTGATGCAGAGGAGAAATCCATGAACTTGAAATCTTCTTGCAGGGGGCTTGGTTTAGAAAGGATTTCTAGCAAATGCAGTTTGTTGAGTTTGAGTGAAAGCACAATGTACCTAGACAGACACAAAGGACGCAATGAATCAATACGAAAACGATTACTGAATTACGATGATTGGTCAGAATCGGAAGATGATAGGGATTGGGAATCGGACGATGAGAAGCCTTACGCGGAATCCATGGGAACTTTCTTCAGGACACCTGAGAGAAAATCTGACCCCGACAGGGAGACTATCCTTTAATTCAAAAGAAAGAACTGATTCATCACCTAGATTTTTTACAACTAGGTGTAGCCGTTTTAAAGCAGGCACAATGTATGCAAACAAAAAATATCACAAACGGAATTAGATGTTACTGTATAAACAGAAAATGAATTTGAGGCGAAATGCGAAACAGCTTCCGGTTATGCAAAAATATTTGATTGCGTTAGCTGTCACAGTAAGATGCACAAAGCTAATCATAACAATATGGGACGATATTATGTAAATCTGAAATCTGCAATCCTATACCATAATACGAGATCTACGCCCACTCATACGTTAATGTTGTAATATGTCAAAAACTCGGGCCTCAAGGCCGTTGGCCGAGTTCTTCCATCTTTTTCTTGATGTTTGGAACCCGTGATGAAGTACGTAGCCCGAGTTTTTGTCACTTCTTCTCAAATAAAACAATAAGAAATTATGCAGTGACATGTTTTCTGTGGTATTGCATTCTTTCCACGAGTTGAGTTAATCAATGAAACATCGTATTAAAATGCAAGAGTTTGATCTCAGATTAAAAAGTGTGTCATTCGAGATGAAAACCTGGTGATGTTTTATCTGCCGTTTCATTAGGTATCAAGATTCATCCACCTGACCCAAATGGTCGTCATTCATTGGCTTTTGACTTCATGAATAATTAATGAGTTTGAGAATTTGTTGTAAAAAGCTTATAATAAGAAGAGGTGAGCGTGTTTAGATAAATTCAGTCGCGCAGCTTTCTGCCCATTGCCATTGCCTTCTCGTTCAAAATGAGCGGTACAGATGCAAAGAAAATGGATGACCTCAAAATGTCTTTAGATGCTCATTCTTTTTCTCGTCTATATCAAGCAAAAATACCAAGCTATATGTATGCTTTTGTACACATTACCTACTGTCATAGAGTAATTAACCAGAATGATTAAGTAGCACTGTATAGTATAGACTTGCTACAAGTCGACCTCTTATGAGTTCTGAAAAGTGAGTGAAGCTTCAATGCATGAGCTCGCGCAGCGAACGAGCGAGCGAAACAACCAGGAAAAAAAATGAAGGACTATAGAAAGTCTATGTGTAGTGGTGAAAAACCCACTCGAGTGAGAGAACGAGTAATGATCGCTCTACTTTGTTCGCCTGCTGCCACGAGTAGTTTGCGAATTTCGTGTTTGTTCATGAATAATTATTTAGTCTCCAGAAAACTGAATTTGCCTAATCTAAACAAAAAATGATATAGACACATGCCATTCATGGACAGCCGTTTGAATACAGAGGAACGAGAAATACTTAAAAAAACTCCGTATTAAAAAAGATAGCTAGAATGGCAAGTGAAGAAAAGTAGGAAGTGAAATGAATGTCAATGTTGAACATCAATAAACGTTTGTATATAAACATTGGATATATTGCTAATTCAACTCGCAGTAGCGCGTTAAACGACGGGCTACACTGAAATTTGCGTGGAAATAAGCGGAAAAATAATTGCCCTTGCGCAGGCGAAGTTATGTACCTGGTATTAGTCAACCTCATTCCCAATATGTTCACGTTTGATTCACCCCCATTTTGAAAGCCCAGAAGCCCCTAGGGACGAAGCTGGAATATTACTGGCATTGACGATCCCACTCCCACGTCACTTTTCTGGACTGTTTGAGAAAGCAGAACACGCCAAATACGCCACGGTGCTACACAGTAAAATAAGGCATTACACTATAAAATCGCGTGTGAATAACTTAACAATAAATGAATGAGGCTGAGTATCTTATGAAGGATTATGGAGATCGAGGAGGGTGTTATCCGTCGAGGCCGTAGGCCGTAGGAAACAATTCCATTAAAGCCATTACGCTGTTGTTTGCGAAGTGATAAACTTGTGAATTGCCATGTTTGAAAATTCTACAAAGATCTCTTTTTAAACTTTCGCGTGATTTGATCTGTCAATCAAATCGTACTTTTTAATGGTTTCCTCTCTGATTTTGTTGAGATCACTTCGTGTGCATATACTCAAAAAAATATTCTTTTCAATCTCGGTGAATAGTGGCTTTAGCAATATTTACCTCGCCGCTTTTACGGCTCGGTAAATATTTAGTCACTATTCACCTCGATTTCAAAGCATAAAAATATGATGCGAAAGTCGAATTCAATAATCGTTTTATTATTCATTCAAAATACCCTATTCCTGGTTTAAAAACATGGCTAAAACATGCTTACCTCCATCGATCCATCGATGTTAAGTTCATCTTCGATAGTGCACGTTTAGGTTGTTCAGCTCCGCAAACAGTCTCCAAATAGCTGATGTCGCCCTTCGAGTTATCTTCTTGCTGTTTTTGCCATGTTTTTAGCTATTATTTCGCCTAGTTCTTACTCTTGAAACGAGTGAAACGAGTCCGTCATTCAGTTTTTGTTTTCACAACCAAAACAACTCAACCTCGTCCCCAGATCTTCTCCGTTAACGGTACATTAACCTGCAAGAAAGCTGCATTTTTTGACGTCATCGGTTCATTAAACGCAAAATTCATCCAAATTTGGTCATCAGTAGCTGGTTATGGTGAATTATGCGTGTGCTTTTAGCCAATCAGAATCGGGGAAATATTTTGAATGAATAATAAAGTACTTTAACAGCCTGAGAATGAAGAAAACAACTGCTGGACTGGGAAAACCAAAAAAAAGAAGTAACAGAAACCCCTCATTCGGTGTCTTGGTAAATAAAACACTCGGGCATTTTACTCATTGCTTCCATTTTTTATTTTCCCTGTGAGGCTCCTAAAATTTTACACAGCTCGTAAAATCATAGGGATAAAATAATGCAAATTTTTACAATGCGCTATAACTTAGAATTTCGCAAATTGACTTTCTACGGCTTAACTAGGCCCCAATCTATCAGAAAATAGAAACAAATCTCTAGGTAAACGATTTTAAGTAGCCCGCAAGACTTCGAGTTCAACCAGGAGCCCATCAAATGGAGCCTCCATCTCCATTAATTTCTTGAGTCAACCCTTTCCCGAGTAGATTTATAAATAGAACGGCTTGTTTCCCGCGAAAAGTGTCATATTTCCGTGAGTCTCGTATGTCACCGTGAAAAAAATGAAGTTGGATGAAGTCGAACTCAGAAGCCCGTCCTTCGACCGTTTTCCTTTTTTACTATACGTCCATTTTTACAGTTTTACAGCCGCTGGGATCTGGGATGAAATAAAAGTTAATGAATTACCCGACTGAGACTGAGCATGAAGCGATGGGACAAAGGCAGCGAACTGAGGATTACGGAAAGGTTAATCTTTGCGAGTGTTTGTTTTTGTTTTTTGTTTTTTTGCCATCATACATCCCACATTTAAGGATGCACCTTGAAAAGAGTCGACGATTAAGCGTTCTGTGGACGATTCGAAACTCTTCGATGATCAGCGCCGAAAAAGTGCGAGGATCATTTATTTTTGTCATCGCCGTGGAGTGGATTTCGCCAGTTAAGCACCGTGTGCAAAAGCGATGACCTAAGTAGCAACTAAGGAGAAATGCTTCAGAAAAATTGCAGTCTTCCTTTACAACTGACTTGTATCACCATGAGAGTTGCCTGATAAAACTGGCACTTGAAAAGTTGAACAGAAGACAACAGTTGCTCGACCGTGAAGCTAACTCAAAAGTAATTTGCTGACGGTGGAATTTGTGACATGGCGCTCCAGTCCAAAGACCCTCTTATCTCAAGAAAAACAAAATGGATTGTATCTGCGCCCAAAGAATTATGACTGACCAACAGGAGAATTCTCAGCAATTAATGTAGAAGTTTAGGCCAATTCTTTCCTTCGAATTCGCACCTGTAGATCACTTTTTTGCGAGAAAACAATGGCTGGGCTCGGCGTTACAAAACATAGCAGGGAATCATCACACTAACTGACGGACAAAACAACCACAGTATTTATTCAGACAAACGCATTTCGGATAAAAAGTTGAAAAACTAGAAATTTGAATAATATTGAGTCATTTAGCCGAAATAAGAACCTTAACGCTAAAAAAAATTGGCTAAAGAAAACGAATCCTGTCAGAACTACAGACTGCAGGTAGAAGGTTAATCCTTGCGCATGTAACAGACCAGCTTAATGTGAGACAAGCAACCAAAATTAAGATTAACATAGTCAGAGTTTAAAACTCTCCACAGTATAATCTACCCGCTAGAAAGAAAAGAAAGAAAATCTCTGAGGGATGAAAACGCTAAAGTCACGTTTCACTAGCTTATGATTTTGTTTGGCCTGTCAGCACCGGATTTCCTGCTGTTTCATGAAGTACAATAGCAGTGTCATTTAGTCGTTGTGATTGGCTCTTCCCACCGTCGGCGCGCGAAGTCTCCCCTGGGAACCGTTCTAATTATAAATCTACTCGGGAAAGGGTTGACTCCAAGGGCTTGTATGGGAGATGGAGGCTCCATTTGATAGGCTCCTGGTTCAACCCAAATTTTACTTACACGGCCCGTCACGCCAGAGGTGTTAACGCCGCGCGACAGATACACTTTAAACATTCTATTCAACATTGATCACATGCCAAATTCCAGCATACAATCTATATTACATCTTTCAATACACTCATTTTATTTACAAGAGTCATTTTGTTTCGATACAATATATAGTGCAGAATTGCCAAAAGTAGGCTTTTTTGAGCGACATCGGCAATACGTCGACGATCAAGCCCAACGAAAACAGACTTAAAACAAGTACAGTGGTGTGTTTTATTAATTTAAGCATCCGTCAAAAGGCATAAATACGTTAAATTTTGGACAGAGACAACCAATATTAACTAATTAGAACATGGACTTTTCTTTTTTCTTTCGAGTTTTCTCTTTCAAGTAATTATGTATTAGTATACATGAACGTTTCGATGTATTACTATCACGCTATAGAGGTACTTTGTAACAAACGTTTTAGAAAATATTTTAATTCGTTTCGATCGACGATGAAACACCGTCATCAAAAACAAATAGCCAAAAACTTTCCTATACAGCACAACGGAAAACAGAAAAAAAAAGTGGCGTTTTACTAATGCTACAGCTGCAGCAGGAATAGTTGTAGCGTGAGTGTGAGCTTTTACTAGTCAAATGCTCCTATTTGGACATCTATAGATCCCTTGCATCGGCATTGGAAAAACCTCTTTGGTACACTATGAACTAACCTGTTTCAGGCGAAGTGGACAGTGGATAGTGGACAGTGGCACGAAATGGAGGACGAAAGAAAACAGACGTGGAAGACAGTAGGAGAGAGAGAGTAGGTGGCGGGAAAGAGGTTCTTTCGCCCCTTCTCCCTAACCTCGCCCTTTCGTAATTTTTTCTAGCTCACTTTTCTTTCCGTTTTCCCAACTATCTGAACGCCTGTTACAGGTTAAATACGTGCATTCCTTCATTTCCAACTGTTTATGGTATATATTCAACTTGAGCGCCGAACACAAGTTTTGGCGCTTTGTTATTGATTTGGTAGTACCAACTTTTCAACTGCTTTTAGACTGAAAAACTGTCTTTTTTATTTATTTATTTTCTCTTTGTCAATTTATATCGTACTTTTTAGTCGTATTTTTTGCTTCTCTCTCTAGTCTCACCTAGTCTCACCCCCGCCCCCTGCTCCCCGCCCCCCTGCTCCAGAAAATTCGCGCGTTCTTTTACGCAAAAAAAAAAAAACAAACAAACAATAAAACTGCAGATGAAACAAAATAGACTGAAAGTAATTTGAAAGAGAAAATTGTAAAAAAAAAAACAAAACAAAACAAAACAAAACAATAAAACTAGGGAAACAAAATAGAGTATAATACTTAAAACTAAGAAAAAATCTTGTAACGAACGAATGGGAACACCGAGAAAGAAAAGACAGACTTGAGGACTTTCCTCATCCTCCGTATTCTTAGTCCATGAAATTTAGACGCCCATGGTACCCTCTTAAATGTCTCTGCCCATGCTATATGTACTACTGATAAGCCCTTTGAAAGGCACTTATTCAAAGTTTGGGTAGTAGTTATGCCGCTGAGGCCTTCAAACCCTCTATTTAAAGCAAAAACCAGTCATTTCATTACCCTGTTTTGTGAGACAAAAGACCATTTTTGATGACCCTCCTAGTCCGTTTTTATTTTGCATACAGAATTACGTAATAAAGGAGACAGAAAAAAAAATGAAAAAAATAAAAAAGATTCACTGATTAGATGTTTTAAAAGTTTGTTGGTACCGCACATGTAGACCGCGCACCACGAACGTCTACCCCCTGTTTAAGGCCTTTTGTCTACAAAAATACCATGTTCAAGACGCTTAGAATTGTATAACCTGTTTAAGAATCAAAGCCTCCAAAAGCTTACCTTTGTGTTTGTCACCAAACCGAATTATACCGAAAGCCTTAGTCTGCTTCACGTATGTACTGTGTAGATCTCCGGAAGAATTGTTTGCAGCCAGCCCTCAAAACCCCAAGAGACGTTGCCTATGCTGCTGGTCAATATATAGGAAGGCTATTCCAAAGAATTGTTATTCCAGAAAAACTTTTCTTTTTTTAACATTTGTCTGGAGTAGAGGAATAGCGAGTTTGCTGTTGGTGTATCTTGAAAAGTAATTAGAGATACTGCAACGATTTGCCATTGCTACGATCTGGACTATGTACTTAACAAGGCCCCTCAAGGTACTTAAGATATATGACGCATATGTGGGATACACTCGCCTCTCACCGCTCTTTGACGAAATGTCCCTAGGGGCAGATAGCGATGAGAGGAAGCTGTATCTCAGGCGTTTGGACACAAGGTTTTTCTACTATTTACATGGGTAAACCGGTCACTTCATGGTTTGGGCAAATGGTGAACAGAATTCAGGACTGGTGAATTTTGATTCCGTTCGGCAATCGCGTTTACCATTTGCCTAATTCAGATTCGTTTAACGAAAAACAGCCGAGAGAGCCTGAAACTAAGATTCAAAACAGGTTTGAAGACATGAAATCCGAGTTTCCGCCCGAAATTTTCCAACCAGGAAAACAGGAATGCTTTTTTAGACGTTCTGTTCGTTTCAGGAATTTTTCACTGAAACGTCGAAAACAACCCGAAACTGAGTTAATGGTAAGCCTGGCAAAGCACCAAAGTGTCCTCTTAGTTTGTTTTAAAGATTTAGTTTTCAGTTTCCGCTCTAAGTTTTGGGGGTTTTTATCGGTTACCGGGCTCGTGTTGAAAACCAATTTAAGGTTACCGGTGTTTTGAATTTTAAAAGGCGATGACGCTGAGCAGCAAAATACTGTATCGCGCCTTCGTTATTCTGCGGTGCCCTTCCAGAGCCCCTCGTTTCAAGACCACGTGACCAAGAAACGACGGGATCTGGGGACGAGAATGGCCACTACCCGGATGATATGGTTGTGCGCATGCCCTCAACTTGGAGGGCGACATCTGCTATTTGGAGATTATTTGCGGAGCTGGACAAACCTAAACGTACACTATCGAAGATGAACTTAACATCAATGCAGCTTAATGATTTCGGCTTTCGTAGGATATGAAGAATAAAGCAGATCTCGGAGGGTGTTATCGGCTGAGGTGGATAACACCCTCCTCGATCCCACAACCACAAGGTCATCAAGAAAACCAAACTACTAAGTCGAAAAGAGTTCTTGTCATAATGAGAAGGGGTCAGCCATCTGTCATCCCTGTAACAGTATAATCTAACTACATGTGGACCATGTGTTTAACATTCGGGTGCTTTTGGCTTACCCTTGTAAGATGATGCATGAATTTCACTTAACCAACCAATAAAGAAGAATGAATGATTGATTTAATGAACAGATTCAAATGGGTAACTTTTCTCTTTCCCATCCAAATCTTGAATAATGGCCTTGTTTAAATTGTGTGTAATATCTAAGACCAAAACCAAAAGGATGTCAAATTTTTTTTGGTTGTCCCATGTGTACAGGCAAATGGCTGTTCCCTGGCAGAAAGTCTTTTAAGTCGTTTAAAATGCCCCAACTTCGCACTAGAGCACATAGAATGAGGCTTGTATATTAACAGACGATTGAAATCTATATCAGTCCTTTGTCTATCCTTTTAAAGTCTGTGAATAAAGGTCCACATAAGAAATAATTATATTTGCTTTCTGACTAGTAGTATTGTTTCATACAACTTCGTTCTGTTTAGCACTGTTTACAACTTGACTGAGGCTGATACAGTGTACATCTAGCACAGGCAGCCCAAGGTCAGTGCTTGAACACTCATAATACAATGCCGAATACTTCTATGCAACAAACATTTTATTTAGTTTTTAATAGATTTAATTATTCATTCAAAATATTTCCCGGATTCTGATTGGCTTAAAGCACACGCATAATTCACCATAACCAGCTACTGATGACCAAATTTGGATGAATTTTGCGTTTAATGAACTGATGACGTCAAAAGTACAGCTTTCTTGCAGATTAATGCGCCGTTAACTGAGAAGACCTGGGGACGAGGTTGAGTTGTTTTGGTTGTGAAAACAAAAATGGTGGATTCGTTACACTCGTTTCAAGAGTAAGAACTGGGCGAAATAATAGCTAAAAACATGGCAAGAACAGCAAGAAGACAACTCGAAGGGCGACATCTGTTATTTGAAGAATATTTGTGGGGGTGAACAAACCTAAATGTGTACTATCGAAGATGCGGGTAAGCATGTTTTAGCTATGTTTTTAAACTAGGAATTATTTTGAATGAATAATAAAACAATTATTGAATTCGGTTTCCGTATCATATGAAGAATTATGGAGATCTCGGAGGGTGTTACCCGTCGAGGCCGTAACACTCTCCTCGATCTCCATAATTCTACATAAGATACTCAGCTTCATTCATTAGTTGATAATTAAGTGATTCTTGTAAAAACTCGACATTGTACTTTTTGCATGGCATTGTAGTTGTGAGTGCTCAAGAACTGAGCCTCGGATACCTGTGGATAAATCTGCCAATGAAAGGTATGATTCCAGAGATGATTCTAGTAGTCCTATTGGAATCATAGCTATCATTAACATCACTATAAATCATGGTTATGATTCCAGAGATGATTTTAATTGTCCTGTCGGAATCATAGCTATCATTAACAGCACTATAAATCATGGTTATGATTCCAGGGATGATTTTAATTGTCCTGTCGGAATCATAGCTATGATTAACAGCACTGTAAATCATAGTTATGATTCCAGAGATGATTTTAACAGTCCTATAAAAATCATAATGATGATTAAGATATAGTACCAATGGAATCATATTATGATATTGAGGGTACATGTCAAATCATATTATGATTGGTTATGATGCATACAGGACTATTTCATCATCACATGAATCATCACATATGATTCCATGGCCTGATTTCCTGTGCAGTGTGTATGAAAAACATCTAATACAAAACCTATTCATTAATATGCATTGCTAAAGTCAATTTTAGTTTGCGAAAGTAACGATTGTTATCTTCAAGTCAAATAAGTAGCTGAATTATATTTGATTACGTTGCTTGATGGCAAACTAATATTACTAAGTTACGGAAGAGCAGACAATTATTTGTACAAGGCTTAGAGGCGATCATGTTTTGAAACACTGAATAAGCCCCTGTTGAAGCCTTGAAGAAAATTCGCTCTCTGAGTTATTGAATACGAAGTTTCAGAACGAACTTCTTAAAGTCAGGGCACCATGAAAGATTTCTTCGCATCTTTTTTCCTTGCTTATTTCGTTCAGACCCTCGCTAACTCCTCCGTGAATTCCATGAAAAGTGATCAGATGAGGAAAGCGCAGTGCCATATAAATTATATCAGCAACTTCTACGCGGGACCGAACAGCAAGAAACTCGAGCAGCAGCTGGCTGAAATAAAAGAAGAAATCAAGGCAATGAAAAGGAAAGAACCTGGGAGAAACGCTACAAAGGGTTGGTACAATGCTGTTAAATAGTTCATAATATATATCGAATCATTTTGGTTAACTCTCCCACTAAATCCTTTTTTTTTTTTTAATTCATTTCTTGTACAAGGACCAAACTGTTCGAATATCAGTCAGCAGCTGGTGGAACTTAAAAAGGAAATTCTTGAAGAGATCATGACAATAAAGAGAAACACAACTGAAGAAAATGGTTTGTACAAAATGTTGTTAAATAGTTCATATACCTTATAATAAATGCTTTGGTCAACTCTGATGAATTTTCAAAACACTTTTTGTACCAGAGCCAAACTGTGCGAAAATCAGTCAGCAGCTGGTGGAAATAAAAAAAGAAATTCTTGAAGAGATCAAGGCAATAAAAAGAAACGAAACTGGAGGAAATGGTACCAGAGGTTTGTACAAGCTAAGGTTATACATCTTATTACCTATTCTCGCTAGTATTAAACTTTATGCCCAACCTAAAAAAAAAATTCCTAAGAAAAATGTTGGAAAGGCTAAAATCAGATTCTTAGGCTCTCTAAAACGTTTAAACTGATTCGCTTTGCACGTCACTTGATCCCGGTTCATTCGATGTTCGAAGCAAAAGATGGGTCCATATTTGCTTAGCGAGTAAACCTAAAGTGGTGGAGATCAATGCGTGCGTCTACTCACGCTTATCATTTAAATTCTAAATATATTTCGAGTGACAGAGCCAACAATCTCACTGTAAATATCGACCAAAATCGACTTTTTGTGGCACATTTTCAAAATTCGAATTTCGCTCATTTTTGGCTCATCGATAACCCTTACTGAGTAATGAAACATGCTTTAATTAGTTTTCCCAAATAACCTGTAAATTCTTTTGTTAAAATTCGAGAAAACTCGTTTTGCCCGTTCGGAGCTCAGAATCCACTTCCAGTAAAGCGAAATTTTACAAACTTCATTGACTCCTACGTCAAACCACAACAATTTGGCAGTCTTTGAAGAACACTAATAGCTTTTATGACCCTTTCTTTCTTATAAGACGATAAATTTGTGAAAGCTGTAATAATTTTGTGGCCAGAAAGGTAATGTTAAAAATAGGTCTTATTGACAATTTCTACCGTTCAAAATTATAGGGATAAAATGATGCAAATTTTTACAATGCGCTATAACTTAAAATTTCGCAAATTGACTCTCTACCGCTTGACTAGTCCCCAATCTATCAGAAAATGAAGCAAATCTCTGGGCAAACGATTTTAAGTAGCCCGCAAGACCTCGAGTTCAACCCTAATTTTGCGAAAAATCGCGACATTCCAGTGGTTAAAAATAGCGTTACACGACCCGTCTCGCCAGCGGTGTTAACAACAGATACTATACACTTTAAACATTCTATTCAAAGTTGATCACATGCCAAATTCCAGCATACAATCTATATTATAGCGGAGACGTGATGAGAAAAAGTATGTTTAAAAGGCTGGTTTACACGTCACCAGATTCGTCGCCAAGATTTACTTGTAAACTAAACTTGTCGAACACTACGTGCTTCATCACGGGTTCCAAACACAAAAAATTCGCCCTGATTTGAATAAAAGGCATGTAAAAACAAAAAAAAATTATTATCGAGTTGTCATTTCGCTTTCAGTTTACAAGAACTGCGCTGAAGTCTACGAGTCCGGTGACATAGATCAGTGGAGTGTATAAAATCGATCCTGATGGTTTGGGCGAATTTGAAGTGTTCTGTGATCAGAAAACAGCCGGTGGAGGTTGGACGGTGTTTCAGAAGAGGCAAGATGGCTCTGTTGATTTCTTCCGCGGTTGGAATGATTACAAACGCGGTTTTGGCAATCTGAACGGTGAGTTTTGGCTCGGTTTGGACAAGATTCATCGGCTGACTGTAAGCAGTGGTTACAAGCTTCGAGTTGACTTGGAGTACATTCATGGAAAAACTTCGTTTGCGGAGTACAACTCATTTTTAGTAAAGAGCGAAAGAGCGAAATACCAGCTGAGTGTAGGAGATTATTCAGCTAAGCTCACATTGGATAAATATAAAAACGATTATAGTGCATTATTCAAGATGTCAGTTCTAAAACTAAAATATGAATTAATTTAAAAAATCAAAAGAACCGATTTAATTCCACCATTTATCTGCCCAATCCTTTTTTGTTACAACATTTTGTTCGGCCAGTCTATAGGTTTTGCTAAATTGATAAAACCATTTGGTGCAAAAATACTAAGCTGCAATAGGCCTTTTTCAAAAATACAGTGAAAACCCGCAACTAAGAACCTACGTTTTTAGGAGTTAGCCTCAACAGGTTCTTATATAAATGGTAGTTGACAGAATTTTAGGCTATTTAGGTTCTTAAAATGGGTTCTTAATCCTGGAGAAAAAAGTAGTTAGTATGCTTTGTAAGTCTACATATCTTACACTCATTTTTCTTTAAAAAACATTTTTACAACAATGACAATCTGCTTTTTTTGCTTCAAATATGATTCTTGCAATGCAGCTGTAATGTACTAGTATGATTTTAGAAAATAAGAACCTGTTTCAAATCTCTTAGGCTAAATAGGTTCTTGTTTATAGGGGGTATAAATGACCAATTTTAGGCTAACAGGCTCTTAATTTTTAGGTTCTTAGTTGCGGGTTTTTACTGTACCATAATGACTCTTTGTTGTCCCTCCAAAATTTTTGGACTTACAATCGCCCCAAGAGAAATTGAAAACAATGCTCATGCAAAATTTTGGAGGGACAACAAAGAGTATTAATAATGGTATTTTGAAAAACGGCCTATACATGCGCTGCACTGTAAACTGTGTCACTTCCGAATTATATTTTTTTATCTTAGGTACCGCTCGTGATGCACTCACGCCGCATCGTGGTATGTTATTTACCACCAAGGATGGTGATAATGACAAGCTCAGCGGTGCTAACTGTGCCATGATTTACAAAGGTGCTTGGTGGTATTACTATTGCGACCGATCTGATCTGAATGGTCTGTACCGCCCGAGTAAGGGTAATATTAGAGGAATGTACTGGTGGAGTCACAAGCCAGAAACCACGAGGTCCGAGATGAAGATACGCCCGAAGAATTTTTAGGATATTGATTTTTCAACCTAAACGTTCTTACTTGCCTCAAGCAAATTTCATTCTGGCAGGTGTCAAAGGACTTTTGGGGCCAATTTAACAAAAGTTTTACAAGGGTAATTTACAAGTGAGCCCATTGTTTTAGTGTCTAAAAACAATAGCTACGCTTGTAAATTACAAATATTGTAAAGGTTTTATTGAATTGTTCCCTGCTTTCGTTTTCACTTTGTTGTTATTTTATTTAAACAGGGTTCAGGTCTTTAACTGCGATCACGATGATCTTCTTCTTTGCATTTATGTAGTATTTAAGTGGGCTACTAAGTTATCATAAAAGGTTTTTTTTTCTTTGTTAGAATTTCACTCTGTAAAAGGCATGCTTTAATTAAGGCATTTTTGATCACAAGCTTCCTCTGTTATGTGTTGGTTGTTTTGCTTAGCTGTTAGCCCGAGCGAAAAGTCAACAAACACCAGCACTCCTCAATTTTACCTTATCATCAATTTATCATACGAAGTTGCTCTACTTTTGAGCCTCAAAGCACATTTGTCCAATGCGTGATTATTCCACTTCCAATCTTGACAGGGGCGTAGCCAGAATTTTTGAAGAGGTACGCACAATTTTTCAAATCCCCTCCCCCCACCATTTGAGGTTTCGTAGTTGTTTTCTGAGTTTGTTTGGTTCAAATTCCAAATAATTCCAAGTCGACTAGTCTCAGTATGAACCACTTCTAGTTAAATAGATACTTATCCTTCCATTGCTCTACGGAAAGGCGCCTTTTTAGTGGAAAGAAATAAAAAACGATGCCAGAGTATTGGGGAGAAGATCAGCGCAGCAGCCAGCTACTGTATGGGTAACACTTTTTTTCAGATTTTTTTTCCGGCTACAATGATACTCAGGATTGTCTAAATCCGAAATTCGCTCAATCTTTATTTCATTTATTTTATTTTTCAACGTCGACTTTTTCAGGTACTAATGTGCGCACCGTGCGTACAGGTACCTACGCCCCTGATTTTTTAAAAGCTTTTGAGCATACGTTTTCTTTTTTCTGTACAAAAGGTAAAATGGCGATTCGAATGCATGCTGCTGAGCAGTAAGTTCCTATGATATCTTAAATCTTAAAGTGCAACCATTCCAATAAGAGCTACTGCGGTGCAGTGCATCGGGCTGTAGCTGTGTAAGATGATTTTAACTCCTGAGATCATCAACTAAATCCAAATCAAACCAACGCTTTTGACCAGTATCGTCAGTAAGCGTGTCACGCCATATGACTGCCTCGCTTCTCGCCTGTCTCCAGCACAGGTAAGTCCCTGCTCCCCACTAAACCTTGTGAAATCCTGTGGACGAGGAAGGTCCTCATCTGTGGAACTTTTATTTTTTTAAAGGCAAAACGTGATGCCATTTATTTCTCAGTAACTTAAATACGAAAAGGCATAAGCATTTTAGTTTTACTAACCTTCACGGCGATCTTAAACACCTTGGAGAAATCCAAAATCAGGTCCAGTCGCCAAAATCGTCTTGGTTAAACCAACATTGCTTGCATCAACGATACATGAGTGTGGACGCCAGATTCCGCACCGCCACAAAGTTCTCACCCAGAACACTTGTCCACGTGGACCACTCAATTATCTTCTTAGCTTCACTAGTTCCAGTTGTCTGTGAAGAACCAATGTTATCGTTCGGATCGGAAGAACATCTTAAAGAGGAATGAATGCGGGTGGACCAGAACTTTGACGGAGTTTTGGCAGGCGGGACCTGACGAACCCCCCGAAAGCGTTACATCATTTCGTGAAGTGGGGTAAATATCCCCCATTCGGTGTTTTGGTAAATAATACGAGCAGATATTTTACTCATTCACTGCATTTCTACTTGCCCCTGGGGGGCTTACTAACTAATCTCGTAAAATACCCGAAGTGAGGTGCATTTGTCAATACAGGGTTCGTACCTTTTTCTGAACAAAAATTTCAAGGACTTTTCAGGACTTTCGGGGACACATTTTCCATTAGTCAAGGATCCATTCAGTGCAACAAAGAGCCTCAAGTCTATGTCTTTTTTAGTTCTTCTACAAGAGCAATTTTATCCTGAAGATCTTTCCGTGTTGTTGGGTTGGATAAAGTTACAACCGAAAGTCAAGGACTTTCCAGGAACGACCGCAATTTTCAAGGACTTTCAAGGCCTTGAATTTTTATTTTCAAATTCAAAGACTTTCAAGGTGCGCGCGAACCCTGTCAAGAGAAAATTGTCCTTAGAAGTTGCTGAAACCGATCAAGACATATGGTCCAGTTAGCTTTACAAAAGACAGAAGGAAAACGTGAAACATACCCGCATTACTAGCAATGGCCACCGTTTCAACAATAGAAAGTAAGTTTTTCATTTTACAACCGAGATTTTCTTCTCTCTTTTCAATTCTTACTAGCAAATGAACACTGGCAGCCTTGATAAGACGGCATCCTTCAATCGAAAGAGGGCTTCCCGGAAACTCGTTCTGTGAGTTTTGAGACGTCAAGTTCACAGTCAATATTATTGATTATACTTCTGTTTCAAGCTTCGGGTATGCTAGTCAATTTAACACTCCAACAACCTCCAAGGATTATACTTATTCAACTTTTAATTGTACATATCTTAGTGGCATAACTTCGTAATTTAGTCTAAAACTTTTGTTTTCGTTTTGTCCATTTAAATACCCCTAAATAAATACTTTGATCTTGAAGCATTCTTTTTATGTTACCATCGGCCATTAACCTTAAAATAAATATATTTTTCAACGTTCTTCAAACGAGGGAATAAGAATTCCAACAGCCGCGCCCGAGTCCAAAATAGATCAAGCTCTCTTTCAGACCTCTCTGCCAACACCAAAGTGGAAATGAAACTATGGCTTTAATAGTTGCTTAAAAAACAGTCTTGACGGCTAGTCTTCATAGTCTTCCCGCATAGCAAAGATTCCTGCCAACATAATGACTATATTCCTCCAGCTGTTTTTGTTCCAGGAACGTTTGATTCTTCTATTCACCAACGCAATTCTGCCGAGTTATTTCCTTTATGTTTCATTGATGTCTAAGGCTAAAGTTTGGAGATACACGTCTTATCATTGTAACGAACGTCTTCATTTACATTTCCAAACAAAAACGCTGCAAAAGAGAAACAGGATAAAAAGTCGTCAGCTTGTTATCATGGCCATCCTTATCAGCACCATGTACAAATTTCGTCAGCAGCCTGTAACAAGCGTTTTGATGATTATTGTTAGTAAATCTTATTGATCAGGCATGAATGCACAGCTAATGCGCGGTGCGTAACAGCTGGGAACAAAGCAAATCTGACTGATGTGTACTCACCAACAATCATCTCCCCCCGCACTGATCAAAAAGCGGTCATCACATGTGAATCGCACATTAGTCACGTGAGCGGAGTGACCCACGTATCGCTTGAAAGGGGCCTGGAATCAAATACAGGCAAATCAGAACTACTTATCGCTTCAAGCGCAAACTGCGTATCATGGAGGACGTTATTTGCTGCATGAAATTTTTAATTGGATTATATGTTGGACTACAAACATAGGTTTACGTCACAGCGTTTTCACAGACCAGCCTATTTTAGGCACATTTTAGAGTACAATTTGCAGATGGCGTGACACATCACTGAGAATGCCCATCTTACGTCAGTATAAAATATGATACAGTGGAACCCCGATATAACGATATGCCAAGGGAGCAGTGGAATTAGATCGTTGTATCGAGACTCCCGATATAACGATATTGCCGTAAAAGAACCGAAAATATCGTTATATCGGGGTAAAATTAACATGTACTTTTTTTACTACATATTGTTTAATTAAACTTGTAATGAGTATCAAATGACTCACAAATGTAGCGTTTCAAGCACGTAGCAATGTCCTTAAACAATTTGCAAAGCATTAGACGTTATCAAGGTTACACAACAAAGTCTGTGGTATGAATCGTAAAAGGGAAACAAAACAAAACTTAAACATTTGAAGTTGCGACTGTAATTGTCTTTACTTTTCGCTGTTTGCGTGTTCATTGTTTTTTTTTAACAGACACTTGTTCATCAATTAAAGTACTCTTCAAGTTTGGTTTGCCTCATTTGTTTTATTTGCAATCTTAAAACGCATCCTCCATCGCTCAAAGAGAGGAAAGGAATTCTCTCTCTCGTTCGCCCGAATCATCCAACGTAATAATAAAATCTCTAATTGCTTTGACAGCTTCAGAAGCTTGCACAGGAGTCAGGCCTAGGGGCGTAGGTTCAATCACTGATATATCATCATCAGAGTCTGACTCGTCCCCTTGAGAGCTAGCATGCGCGACTGTATCTGTGTACTGACACTGTATTATCGTTATATCGGGGAAGATTTTACGCACGGTGCGCTAAAAACTCATCGCTATATCGGGAATATCGTTATATCGAAGATCGTTATATCGGGGTTCTGTCCCATACATTTTACTGTAACTTTTGCCGGGACATAGCATATTTATCGTTATACCGGGGATATCGTTATATCGAGGATCGTTGTATTGGGGTTCCACTGTAAAAGGTAGGGAACAAAACTAACATTGTCAGCCAGGTCTAAATCTTTTGAGATACTCATAATCCAGATTTACACAAAGAATCTATGAAAACTGGTCTGTGAAAACGTCGCGAAAGAAATGCATGGGAGTTACTATGTAAGGGTTATGGGCTTCTGCCATCAATGGAAAGGTTGACAACAGAACAAGCAAGAGAGTTTTAAGATGAAGAGTTGTTTGCGGATTGTCGCTGGCATTATTTAAAGATTTGAGATGGTTTCCTCTTGGCGAAAAGTAATCAAGTAATATTTTAAGCACTTAAGAAAAAACTTACAAATTTCTCCGTGACTGGAAAGTCGAATAACTTTACAAAACCAAAGTCATCACCAGTGGCCAGAGAGAAACCGCTGGACGACAGGTTTGCGCAGTTCACGTCCGCTTTGTCCGCGTTTCGCGGCCATATTCCAATCACTTCGTTACCAAGAACACTGTGAAGTTAAAAACAAAAGGATTGCTTAAAAACGTTTTCTGTGACATTTGAAACCCAAAGAGAGCATGAAAAGCAATATTTAATATATTGATTAACCTACCTAGTCCATGAATCCCAGGTTATTCTATTTATTTCTTTTTTGTCTCTTAAGAGATTTCCTCCGGGAACTGTGAACACTAACCGTTCATACGCACCGGTGGAGACCTGAAATAATACCCGATAAGTAGTGACTGGATAAAAAATAACGACTCCAATTACAATTTAAGTATTGTGGACATGGTCAGTAAAATAGAAACACTTGTGTACTTTTGTCTAAGGCGGATACCATTTTGGTGATCACCTGGGAGACCGACGCCTTTTAAGGCATCCCAGACATCCCAGTTAAGTCTACTCTACAGCAGACATCATTTTTAAGGAAGAAAACTCTGTACAGTGAATACCCCTGCAAGGAAGACACTGCCATTACAGTAATAAAACAATCCTTTAGTCATACGCACCATATCAACCAGGACAGTGACCGTAAGAAAACAATATGCCATTCGTGTGATACTAACCTGAATAAACTTGCCATCTGCGGAAAAGTCCATCTGAGTAACAAAAGATGGGATTCCTTTGCAGTATCCTGCACGAGTCAGAGGGCGGCCCTCACGGAGCTCATAGAAGTCAACACAACTATCATCTGATCCTACTGCGAGATATCTGCCATCTGGACTGAACCTATTGACAAGTAAATTACATTATTTATTCAATCATTTACTCACTCACTCAATCACCCTAACTCACCCGCTCAGCTAAGCTATTCATTGATACAGCGAAAATGAGTTCTTTTTCATTTATTCATTGAATTTTCATTTATCCGTTCATTCATGAATTCCTTCATTGATAATTACACCAACACATGGCTCAAAAACGTAAAAAAAAAAAAAACAAAACTTGTCGCGTATACCGAGAGATAATCGAGGCGGGTAGCGCTACAACTGAGAAACTCAACTTACAACACGAGAAAGTGGCTGAACTTAAAGGGCACTTGACTGAATGCAACAGCCTGTTATGCTAGAAGGAATGAAATCACTTGATTACTCGTCTTTTGGATTAATCTTTGATCTTTAATCAAGGTAATTGCCAATTATTGATAGCGCTTATGCTAATCCGGCAATGATTACCTGACATCTTGAATGGCTTTGTTTCGATCCCGCTTCTGCGCTATGATCTTCAGCTCAGCGGATTTCAAAACAGCAAATGCGCCGTTTTTAAGACCAATAGCAAGTAGCTCACCATCAGGAGAGAAGGCTGCTGACCGAGCAGCCACGCCCAGGGGCGCCATCTTTACCATCGTCTGAAAAGACGGGAAAGGTCGTTAAGAAAGGTTTGCTTTAATTTTTGTTTTCGGAACGGTTTTATTTAATCTTAAATAAATTGTTTCTGCATTCGTGTTTCGGTATTTGCTTTTTCAGTCAACTGATGGTAAGATCACAACATGGAGTCTTTGTTTTCCTGCCATAAACCATCCAAGATAGAAAAAAACGTCGTTCGATTGTCCAATCGGCAACCCCTTTTGTAGCCCCTAGTTGTGGAAAATTAATTCTCAGCAACTTTCATTATCTGGGAATGCGTTCCGCGTTCTCTAAATCAGTCAAAAGTCGCGCGCGATTGTGCCATTCTATGAACCTTTCAAATATGTGATAATCTTATCAGTTGCTTTGGTTTTGCTGTAGCCTAGACATTTTATCACGATATCTTAAAGAGAAAGTGGTTTATTTTTTTCAAAATCAAAGTACGCCATGATAACTTGTATACCAGACAGAGAACTCGTCTCCCGCTTCATTGAGTCACCGTCGAGTTCAAAAGGTCGGTAGTTTATGTCTGACAGCGTTCTCGTCCTTGGAGGAAAATCAGGTAAATTCCTCAGATGTATGTTAAGCCTTGTCGATAACAAATACTCGTGTAATATTGTGGGAAACACTTTTTGAAAAGAGTAAGTAAGAGTCAATCTTAAACGTCGCATGTACCTTAGTGGCCACGTCCCACAGTCGAACAGTTTGATCATCACTTGCAGTTACAAATACTTCTCTATCAGGGTGACAGGCTAGACCCCAGATCTCTCCCTCTCCATGGCCACGAACAAGAGTCTGGAAAACAAGTATCATTAATACCAACCAAGCAATCAAAAAAACTAAGGTTGAAGAATAATCTAAAATAAGTGCCAAAGTAATCAAAGGTCAGAACTGTGAAAGGTTTGAACCAAGGAGTCATTTCCAAAGTAGGTTGAGTTTGATCGTCCGGGTTAACGTAGTCCTGAATAGGACTGTTGTTGACAGTGAGTTGTATTCTGTCAGTTGATGGTATTATACTCTGGATATGGATCTGATTGGTCAATTATGTCAGAGTTAACGATCACATCGATGTGTTTGCTAAAACAAAATGAAATAGGAATAAGAACATTATTGAAAAAGAAAAAAAGAAACTTTAAAATACTGCAAGATGCGGCCAACTAAAAGACGACCACCAAGCTAGTCTTCAAGTTTTGCTCTTGTCTCAGTAGAAAATAAGCGTTTGCGGCCGGTTTGTGCCTCCGGCTTAGACTATTGAAATTTTCATGTATAATAGTATTGGTCGGAAGAATTCAGTCGTTAAAAGGCTCTCCTAAGGCTTAAGAAAGAAAGGAATGAAATAAACTGTACCGTAAACAAGGCGCAACTAAGATTCTTGTAAGTAATACTACAAAAAAGCTCACCTGAGATGTGGAAGTTTTTTCTGTTATCTCAATTATTTCACTGTCCTTTGTGCCAACAAGGATTTTACCCTACAAGCAGAACAAAATCATGAGGTATTTATGCGAGAAGTGGACTGTGGCAAACAATCGAGTCATATTACAAAATCGAACAAACAACTAACCAACTTAGTCTGCGGTTATTATTTTATAACGGCGTCCAGGGTTGTCACTAAGAGCCGGGGGCCGGGGATTTCCCCCGGCTACTTTCGTCGTTAAATTAAACCAAAAGAGCACACCTTTCAAACACACAAAGACTATCCATTTAACTAAATGAAAGTTTCATCTGCAGCAGATTTAAGTAATTTTGAAATACTCGCGTGCAAAAACTAAGAAATGTCGGGAAAAGACATCTGACTTAGATTTGGTACTAGTACACACGCGCGAAAACTCTCCGTTCGCGAAATGTCAGTAGGGAGTTTTAGCAACGACGACGGCGACGGCAACGAGAACGTCAAAAAAGCAATAGGTTTATTGAGAAAAACAACTAGTTTGCACGTGGATCACACTTTTTTGTACATTTCTTTGCTGTTACTGCGCGACTACGACGTGAAAATGCCTAGTTTCACGTTTTATGGAGGACGTAAACAAGCGACGTCAAACTTTTTTTTCTCTTTCTAAACTTGAGTGCGGTCCCAAAGAAATCAACTCCAGGGAAATTGGCCTACATATTTTTTCAGCGAATTGAAATAAACGCGACAAAGTTGGAAAAAACGCCAATTCATTTTAAAAGTGACGTTTTCGCTGCCGTCACCTTTGTCGATGCTAAAAGTCCCCAGTTTCAACCGTTGTGTCGGCTTTGTGTTGAACATGTCGAAGAAGTGGCAAAGGAATCTGCAATCTTTGTTCACGATGAAAGACCTGAGCAGATCTCTGTTGACATCACAGAAGAAGTTGAGGCTTCATCCGCGCGTTAAATCTCCCTGATGCTGATGTTGATGATAATGAGGATTATGATGAAGGCTTTGAAGATGAAGACTATGAGTGATTGCTATGTTTAATAAATTGACATTTAAGTGACCAGGTCTAAATTTAGCTTTAGATATCGAATATATAAAATAACGCACGGTCAACGGGAAATGTTTGATCATTGTCCGCAGGTCATGATTACATCCTCTCAGTTCTACTTCCAAGAAGTTATATATAAAAGGGAAGTTAAGCATTAGTATTACTTTTGCATTCTTCTCCTTGAGTCTCGTTTTGACATCTCAGCGTCGTTTATAAAGTATTAGCCCTGTCTTTTAAACGCTTTTCCTTAGTCAGTTTGTTCGTATGTTAAGTGATGTTTCGTTCATAAATTCGAGACCACTAATGTTACCAGTTGTGCAGTTTAGTTTTGTCATATTTTATCCCGCGAGTTTTCGTACGTTACGCTTGTTTTAGCCTTATCATACTTTTATTTTTCAACAAACCGTAGTAACCTTATGTTTATGATGCTTTTTCGTACATTTATTGTCCGCTTGTCTTCTTTCCGCTTCTCCGTTTGTTAATTCATTTGTAATATTACTTTTACTTTTGTTTTCTGTAAGTTGTTTCGTTCTTACGTATAACTAAATGAGGATTTACAATTGATTTTACAGCGCATGTTTATTCATTTGCACCATATAAGAATCGATTGTCCTTTCCACATTTTTAACATTTGTAAATTATCGTTGTGATTTAACTCTTCACTGGCCAGCATGCGCCTTGTCTGCGTGAAGATAAGACTGCGCCTACCTGTCAATTTTTTCAGACACGGTGCTTACATGTATACTCCCATTTGGCGGCCACTAAAAAAACCCTCCAACGAGCCTTTACGCAAAGTAAAACCTTATTATTTTGGTGTCGCAGAATGATGTAGTTTTCTTTAATAAAGACGTGATCATCATAAAACCGCTAATGATAGCTGTACTCTTGATGAAGATTTCTTTTTGGGGGGCGGTAATGCCTTTTGGAAAACGGTAGAAGTGCAACTGGGGGTGGGGGGTGGCTCCATGACTGCTTGCGACTTCCCCGGCTACAAACGACAAATACCCGGCAACTTGAAATCTTAGTGACAACCCTGATAACGTGGTGAACCTTTGGAGATTATAACGTGGTGAGCCTGTGTCTTAACCAACCTTTCCTCTGCAAACTGATCGCACTACGCAGGGTCCAGGCCCCAGGCTCAGTGACCGACACCTCTTCATTTCTTGATCCCACAATTTAATAGCGACACCCTCTTTAGGGTTTCTAGAAAGGTGAAAAGGATCAAATTTAGTACAAAACGAAATATAGAGAAACGGGCGTTTATGTACGAAAGGTAAGGACGCTTTACAAACAGAATCGTTCTCGCCAATTTCGTAAAAAACACTCCTGAGTAGACCCTTCCACGTTTTTAATTAACTCTTGACAACGAAGACCAGTTAGCAAAAATCCATCTACCCTTTTGGAAAGAGCGCCTTATTTTCAGATGTTCTTTTCAATAGGTGACGGATTCTCGCTCACTGGAAGAATCTACCCACCCACTATTACACACCCAGGCAATGATTGGTACACTACTTTCAATGTATTTTGTTTTTGTTTTGCACTTCTTTAAGACTAAAGACTAATTCTTCGACGCGGCGAAATCTGTAAAATATGACAAACTGTCGGTATTACTCTATCAATCTAACACTTGCTTGTATAAATGGAAACCCACTTATAACAAACCAGTTTGCAATTTTTAAAAGCAGTCTTTTAATCTGCAACATCCTCTCGTACAATCTATAGTACGTACCCTTTTTCTTTTCCACCGGTGACAATCAGCCCATCACGCAGAGTAGTGTGCATAGAGAACACAGGACCACTGTGCGCCCGGCTGACCAGCCGAACTAGTTTATGTCCCGACCACACGAACACATCCCCATTCATGGCTCCGGTAAACGTCAGATTATCCTATAGAGCAAATGGAGTCAGTAGCACTTCAGATTGCTCGATATTTGCGTAAAGTTCACTTCACTAAGCCTTGGTTCCGATAAAATAACCCTGGCACTGGTTTCTATAATTCTCTCTTTATAGATGAATTCTTTTGTAAGAAACTTCCTTGGAAACTGAAGGAGATTTTGTGTGGTTCTTTGCCTATTAATGGCGGAGATGTAAGAAAAAACATGAAACAATGTCAGGAAAGTTACAGAGACTAGAATTGAGTTCCACTTTCTGCATCAATGTTTGAAGCTTCTTGAGCATTGGACAGTGACACACTTAACTTGTACTGTAATTGTCACCACGAGGCTACTACTTACGGCACGATACGCGCATGCTATGAATCTACTTTCACGTCATTCTAATTCCCAAAGCTGCTATCCTTTAGGTCCCTGGCAACGAAAATGCTTTCTCGTTACACCAGAGGCATCTTGCTGACAAATTATCTGATACTGTAATCACTAAATGTAATCCTTACCGCTCCAAAAGCAACTGAGAGCATGGTTTGCATTCGGAGTTGGGAATCATCACCCTCCATCTGTTGGGATGTATTTATTAACCCCCGCTTGCCAATCAGCTGCCCGCCAGCCACAGTCCAGAACTTCACATGTTTTACTCCACACGTCACAAACTGAGTGTCTGAATCGGGTCTGAACTCTGCCACAAAAATTCTCTCCGTATGACCATGTGAGCTGGCTAGCTTGCTGCCTACAACGGAAAGACACGCAGAAGGCCTCACGATTATTTAATGCGTTCCATCTTTTGGATTCTAGAGTAACTTTATAGACACCCAATAATTCCATAAGTAAATTCTTCTTTCACTACTCAGAGTAACAGTTAAACCGATTTTTTGAAGTTTGTTTGCCATTTTCTTCGGATAACGCCAAACGAAAGTAGCAACAACAACACAACTGTTCTCTTTTTCAAAGAGGTCGCAAAGTTCCCCACCACAGGTAGCCACGCTAAGCTGACCGCCGCAGCCTGGCCTTTATTGCAAATTCATAAAAATGTACACATAACATACCCCTAGAAAGCTGGGACACTAACAAAACTACAAAGTTGCACATTACATTTAAAAAGCCTACAAAACTGAAATCTTAGGGTGGGTGGGTGGGTGGGTGGGGGAAGGTCAGTAATGGCGGACGCAACAAAAGCAACTGCCCGCCTGTCGGTCACATGTCCTATACCCAGGCCCCCAGTGGTGTGTCAGAAAAGCATTTTCCACTTATTTCGTTACAATCAGCCAGTGGAAAATTACCCTTATTTGTTAGACAGAATGTTAAATGTTACTGATTTCAGCAAATGTTCAAAGGAACCACAGGATAGCGCAATCATTCCAGAGAACGTCTGGTAATCCAAATCCATACTTCTCGCTATCTGGATATATGCATCGCTGGGCTTGAATTTCTTTCATGTAGACCATGACAAGCCCCCATCTAAGAGCAAGAGAACTACTTGAATCAAATTGGTAACCTTACCTTCAGCCCACTTCCACACAGCAATACTGTGAGCAGCATCAATACCCACAGTGACCAAAAGCTTTCCGTTACAACTGAAGTGTACAGCACACACGCCTTTGGTGTGGAAGCCTTGTATAACTGATAACGTCTCCTTTGATAAAGCGTCCCACACGTGCACACAAGGCTCTGTACCGATTTGACCAGTGGCTACGATGTTCTACAAAACAGTGGAAGGAAAATAACTAATAATAAGGAAAAAACAATCGTATCACATTTTCGCGGGCTTTATAGCGATTGTCTGGAAAATTTCGCGTCCTCGCAAACGTTGAACAGTTTCAAGCAACATACGGTGATTAGCAAGGTTAAATTTCCATTTCGCTAGGCATTAGTATTCTGTGTACAATTATGGTTGTTTCAGTAATTTGCAATAACGGTTGTGATAATTTTGTAAACTTTTAACAATAAACAATTAGGGATTCTGACAAAATAATGAACTTGGTGGGACAAATTAGCTTGCCTTAAACTTGGGATGTTGATTGACAGTTAAACAGATGATGTCATCTGTGTGCTCAAGGTAGAATGATTGTACTCCATTAGCGGTACTCAATACAATTCCGGCTCCTGCTGCATGATACACAATCTCCCCCTCGGGGAGGTAGTGCAGATTATTCCTGGTGTCAAAACCACGGTAGCCATGAATGAAATCCAAACTAAGTTCCTGCGGAAAAATATTCATGTAGTTAGTCCTTCTTGAGAAGAGGAAGAATAATTAACTGAAGGCGTTATAGCGGTAATATTCCAAGGAAAGAAAATATGGTGTGAGGGACAGCTGAAAGCTACCGAGCAATGTTTACAGTTTCTTGTGCTGATGTTCAGATTATGCTGGAAAAAGTTGTTCAACCATTTGGGTACTGAGCAGTACCTTCCTGTTTATTATGCTGTGCAAGAAAATTCAAAATCTGTGGATGAAATCCTTAGTTTGGCCATTAAAATGAAAGCTACTGAGTAGTACTTCCCTAAAGTTCTGTTTATTATGATGTACAGGGTGGTTCAAACTTTTCAGTCTGTGAAAACCTTGAGTGGTGTAACCATTGAAATGAAAGCAAACGAACAGTACTTCTGTATGGAACTGTTTATTACACTTTACACGGTGGTTCTAACTTTTATATTTTCTAGTTAAAACAAAAGTGAGAAGGTTAAGCATGCACATTTATGGACCTGGATGGCTTGGTTTCTCCTCTTCTTCCCTGACTCCCTCTGCCGGTCCAGTTGCCGAACTTTTGGCGGAGCTTTGGAACCACGGCTAACAGCAGGTCTGACACAAAACAAAAAACGTTTCAGTGGCATAACATTTTGCGACAAGTAAGGAGAATGTGTAATGTAGCAACCACTCTTGAAAGAGAAGGACCAAGAGGTTGAAGACTCTATTGGTTTTCTAGAAACTGAAACATCGGTCATGACTGAACCAACGACATTAAACAAATAATATTGAAGACCATTTTGTACGTCTGATGTTTTGCGTGGACGTAAAATATCACCTAACAATTCTTTACCAGGTCGTCAACTCTTGAGAGGACGCTTAAAGGGAATGTTACACGGGACGATTCGCAACGACGATTTTTACCGCAACACAGCCTTACAACATTGTTATTTCATTGTTTCGAATGGCTGCAATATTGTCCCGTGTAACATCACCTTAAAAGGAGGCGGAGGATGACTGCACATTTCTGAGGCGTCAAGAAGTTTGTCAAACAATAACTCTACCTGTGTTCCTCATCGTCTTGTTTCTCTCTAAGGTGTGGCTTTACTCCCTTGGTGGTACGGAGTGGATTAGCGTAAATCTTGTCCTCGTAAGTCAGATTCTTTTCCCTCTCCACGTCACTGTCGTACCCTCCTTCTTCTTCCGAGTCTGTGTCCGAGTCATCACTGTCACCTCCGACTTCTTCCCGATCGTGCGCCCGAGCATGTGACCACACCATGACTGACGTGTCAGCTCCGCCCACTGAAACCAAGCGACTGTCGTCATTTGTCCAGCGGACATTTGTGACATGTGCAGAATGGCCGACGTACTTCTTGAACTTTGCATGCTTGCCCTGAAAAATGTAAGCAGAAATTGCGGCTCTAAATCTTTCGTCTTTCTGTTCCGTTATTAAAAAGCTCTCTCTGACACCGACGGTCACTAAATTTGGTTTTAAGCTTCACACTATTGGAGGTTAGACTGTCAATAACTTTAAAAAGATTAAATGATAAACCAATTGTTTAATTATGTTTTAACACGTTTTAAAGAATTATGTAGATCTTGGAGGATCTCTCCCTAAGTATATATTCACAATATACCGGATACACGTCACTTTTCGTGCCGAAAAGAACTGGAACAAGTCATTCACAAACATCGAACATCACGAAGAAGACGAGAGGTTTGGTGAATTAAATCCCAGACCTAATCCTCGAATATTTTCTGCTATCTTAGTGGATTCGCTGATACTTATTCACTTCCGCTTTGGTCCGCATAAGTGTTCCCGCTGCACCAAAGTGTGGCACAGAACCTACCGTTGGTTGCATCTAAGCGTGTACACGTGAGGAAAAAACATGTTCTAATTGGGTGCAAACGTGTCATGTTTTGCCGCCAAACATTCGAAGTTTGGAGTACGCGGCTGTTGTCGACTTGATTCGTCTTCGCTCAACAAAATATTCTTTGCAAGAATTTTCAGACGTTAAGAATAAATTCTGGAGGCAAGTGTGCTGTTTCTGAGCGAGAAATATGCCTGCAAGTTAAGAAAAATGAAATATGAGCGGAACGCGCTGATCAAAAACACCTAAACAACTTAGCTTTGGCGTGACAGGTTGCTTTAACGGCTGTCAAACTCCATATGTTTTGCGGCAAAATACGTCATGTCTGGCATCCTATCAGAACATGATTTTTTGTCTCGTGTCCACGCTCAGATGCAACCGACGGTATCCTTTATGTGACGCTCCACTTTCGAGATCGGCGCGGCGCAGCTTCGCCTCCAAAATTATGGTTCTTATGCGTGAACAGAAGCCCCATTCGGGATGGTTTTCGTGCCGGCGCAAGAGCTATACGGTACAGTGTGAATACAACCTAACTTCCAAAAAAGAGTAGGAGAAAACCCTTGGAACAGGGTTGAGAGATTATGTAATATATCAAACATGAGACGCAGTGTTTCATCACCAGAAGAAACACTGACAAGAGAGTTGAGAATACGACGAGCAGCGGAGTATTTTTGACAAACTTCATGTGTTTTATCTGGTGACACTGTGTCGAATGCTTTTTATTACTTCTCAAACAAAATGATTTTAGAAGGAGAAATTAATGATGCAAAAATGAGCAGTTTTTCATCTGATTTTCAAACACTAATTAAACATTTAACTTTCTGTATTTTCTTCATAAATTATTAAAGAAGTTTGAGAAAGTCTTTTCAACGCTCAGTACTAAATGAACTAAATTAAACTTGAATACATGTATATTTGGAGCAGAAGCAAACACTTGTCGCATGTTGAACGGGTACCCCGTTTCAACGTATCTACATAGCCAAAAAAGGGTTTACGTTAGTTTCCCTAGGCCGCTAATAAATTTCTGCAAGAGACCACAGTTAATTGAGTGGAATGGTTATGAAACCCGTCAGACTCCTTTGTTATATGTTTTTGTGGACCTGAAAGTACACAACGTTCAAAAGAATTCGTATCATTTTGATTGTATTGACCAATAAAAACGTTGCATTAATTTATTCCGCAACAATTTGCCAACAGAAAACAAAGGATTGTGCAATTTCACGGTGCCATGAACATAAACTGCAGCACTGTTGTTTTTATCATTGATGTTTGCCGCTTTTCATAACCAGTCTCCTCTAAAAACTATGAAGAGACGAATTAAAAGCATCGCTAAACCCCCAAAAACTACCAGTGCGAGACGCCTATTGTTCGTACGCTTCGCAATAAAATTCATCATCATAACGAGCAGGAGCGAGATTGTTGTAGCCTGAATATCTACGCTGGTTGAAATGTACATAACACAAGACCAAGTTTTTTGTGTTGCATTTGGGTTAGGCGATAGGGTTAACGGATCAACCGGCTATTAATTATTCGCATTCGTTGACGGGAAAATCATGACAGGAGACAACTAGCCAGCCATTTATAAAATACAAGTTCGATGAATTTTATCGTCAACAAGATCCTAAATATGACCATGTACATGATCCACGGTCCTAGTAAATCAGTCTTGAAGAATTGGGTTTTTAAATAAAAATTGCGGCCTCACAAGTTTTCCTTTTGAATGACAGGGTTTCCTTGTCACGTCATCAGCCTCCAAGACCTCACAATATTTATACCGCTGCTAGTACCTATAATGACTTTACGAGACAAAAGGAAGTCGGTACAAGCGTGAATAATTTATTTTTATTTTGACCTATAGAGGTCCCATTCTTTTGCCTTTAGGTACACACAGTGCAATGGTGGGAACAACCCTCTCCATCAGAAAAAAAAACACGTTTTTATAGGCCTATGGCATCTCTCCTTCAAAAAAACTTTCGCAAAGCTCGGAGGTTTATTGCGACGCTACAGCTTATTTCTTCACAGTGCTAGGCGCCACATCGTAGAATAAAAATTCCACGTGAATCGCTCCACCGATTTATCGCATACCGCATACGCGCACTGCGAAAGCAATTGAAACAAAGGGCTCCTCGCTTTGTTTTTTTGGTATACGTCTGTTCTACTAATAACTCCACTCCGGATTTGTACGAATGTCGCGCATTCACATCGACCAAAATGTGGAGTTGTGTGATTGGCGATAACTGATGATGCAAGAGCTCCAAAAATAGTATTTACAAACAAGAAAATTTTCTTTTGAAAACGATGGGTATGCCACTGTTGAAGCCTTGGAAATTATTCGCTTTCTATCACTAGCTTTGACTCGTGACAGAAAAATCTTCTTAGAAGTCGGGAGAGGATGAAAATATTCTTTGCAACTCTTGCAATCGCTTACTTTCTAGCGACAAAAGCAAACTTATCCGTCAAACCCACGAAAAGCGATCAGATGAGAAAAGCACAGTGTCATATGACCTATAACACTAACTTCTACGCAGGACCGAACTGCAAGAACCTGAAGCAACAACTGGCCGAAATAAAAGAGGGAATCAGGGAAATGAAAAGAAACGAAACCAGAAAAAAGACTGTACAAGGTTTGTATAAACTTTTTCTATATTTAAATACTCAGTTGAAATGCAAGAAACTCGATCATCCTTAAAATCAAGGTAATGAATAGAGACCAGAGGGAATGCTGTAAAGGATACCGAAATAAGTTTATATATATCCTGGATAATTAAAGAGGCCTCAGTCTTCAATGACTTAACCTACAATAATTATAAGCTATCCTCTGTACTTTCACCAGGACCGAAGTGCAAAAACATCGAACATTAGCTAACTGCAGTAAAAAGAGAAATCCTCGAAGAAATCAGGGGCATGAAATGGAACAAAACCGAAAACGCCGTATAATGAATTTGTTTGGACGCTAGTAGTCTACATAATTCTTGACTTCTTTTATCCGAAGGGCCTTCGCTGATTTCTTTTATTACTCGCTATATACCTCTACGCAGGACAAAACGGCGACAAAATAACGCAAAACCTGACCGAAATAAAGAATGAAATCCTTAACGAAATCAGAGCAATGACAAGGACCATAACTGGAGGAACTACAACTGTAAAAGGTTTGGAAAATGTTTTGGGCTTTTCTTTCTTCTATCCTTTGCTGTTTTACTCTATTGAACCCAAAATATATGTTCTCTACACAGGTCCAAACTGCACAGACATCGGTCAACAGCTGGTGAAAATGAAAGAGGAAATTCTCGAAGAGATCAAAGCAATTAAAACTAACAAAACTGGTGGAAATTGTCTTAAAGGTAAATAGCAGTGTGTATTTTCAACAAAGTTCTCTTAATCTGTTCGTTCTCCTATTTTCCGAACACGATAGGAAATGGTAGGCAAAATGTTGAAAGAAAATAAGATTCCTCACAATCTATTCAAACATTACTTTACCATGATACTCAATTTACTCTTTATTATTTTGTCGTCTAATCGTGGAAACAGTGCAGGGATAAAGAAAAAACGAAATCTTTTAAGGGTAGGTTTTTTTGCTTTTTTAGTTTACAAGAACTGTGCTGAAGTTTACAAAAGCGGTAACAAGATCAGTGGTGTGTATAAAATCAATCCTGATGGTTTGGGCGAATTTGAAGTGTTCTGTGATCAGAAAACAGCCGGTGGAGGTTGGACAGTGTTTCAGAAGAGGCGAGATGGCTCTGTTGATTTCTTCCGCGCTTGGAATGATTACAAACGCGGTTTTGGCAATCTGAACGGCGAGTTTTGGCTCGGTTTGGACAAGATACATCGGCTGACTGTAACTGGTGGTTACAAACTTCGAGTGGACTTGGAAGATCATCAAGGCAAAACCGCATTTGCCGAGTACAGCTCATTTGAAGTGACAAGCGAGAGAGCAAAATATCAGCTAAGTTTGGGAAGTTATTCAGGTAAAACCCGTTGTGCGCTAAAATCGTTGACTTTATTACTTCTGGGAAATTTACCAAATCCCCCCCACCCCATGTTAACTTCTCACTCACTGGGAAATTAGGGCAATAATGTTGGATTAGAGGAGGGGTAGGTGAGCAGTTTTCCAGATCTTCTTCTCCCATCTGCATCGACTACACGACAATAAGTGCGAATGAAGTTGGAGTATAGATGAATTCAAATAGTTTAACAGACTGATTGAAGTACACAACTAATAATGAGCTTAAGCAACGTCACGACGACGGCAAGAGCAGCGAAAACGTCACCCAAAAAGTGAATTCGCGTCGTTTTAATCTCAAAATATTTAACTTGTCAAATGTTGGCGATCATCTTAGGAGTTGAATTCTAAAGAACTGTATCTACGTTCACAAAAAAATAAAGAAAATCCTTGTCTTGTGTTCACGTCCTCCATAAAACGTCAAATTAGGAAGTCGTGCAGAGTTGTTGCCAATCTAAACCTATTGCCTTGTTGCCGTTCTCGTTGCCATCACCGTCGTCGTCGCTTTTAAAAGCTCTCTAATATAAAGGGCTGAACTTTTGAGGGTACTTTCACCAATCTCAACTGCACAAAGCACCTTGGTGACTAAAAGTGTTTTTGGCCAAGTTCTGTTTATTATATGGTAAGTACAGCTATACAGCAACCATTTGGCAAAAAAATCATGCGACAACTTCACTGTGTCTTAAATAACGACAATAATTATTAAGGCTACTACTATCCGGACACTGAGGAGACCAGCACAACTAGTTTCCGACTCACCTGACAGCCTACAAGACGAGACTGATTATCTTAACAACGTTTTTAGTAAGAACAATTACAACACGGACTTTGTTAGACGGAACACTCACAGTAACACTGATTCCAACACTCAGACCAACTCTGGCCCTGTTACGACAGCGACTATACCGTACATCAGAGGCACCTCTGAAACTATTGCACGTATATTACAACCTTACAATATACGTGTTGCACACAAACCGATAACCACTTTACGGCGACTGCTTACTAATGTCAAGGACAAAGACAAACCAGAGGACAGACAGGGAGCAGTATACAAGATCAAATGCTGAGCCTGCTGGGCTTCTTACATTGGTGAAACCGGCAGAAACCTAAGCACGCGACTGACCGAACACAAACGAGCGACGAGGAATGGTGACGTTAACAATCACATTGCTGAGCACCATTTAAAGACGAAACATCAAATTGACTGGGACTCTGCGACATGTATAACGTATTCTACAGACTACTATCAACGTCTTACTTTAGAAAGCTGGTTTACTAACTTAGAACAAACGCCACTGAATCGTAGCCAACAGTTACCAGCGCCGTACAAACGACTTATTGACAAGATCAAGCAAAACTAACTACGAGAGAACTACTGGAGAACTGACAATTTGACTAACAATAGACGACTGTTTAACTGTGACAATAGACGGATCGAAATGCACCAATTACTGATTACGAGTCTTCATAGCCAATAACATCACGGCTTAACTGACAGACGACCAATGACATCGCGACGTAATTGACCAATCAAATCAATAACCAGAGTATAATACCATCAACTGACGTGATACAACTCACTTTGACTCTGAAGATGACTACAGCACAGGTTGTTGAAACGTCAGTCAGTGCCAACAACAATAGTCCTATTCAGGACTACGTTCACCCGGACGATCAAACTCAACCTACTTTTGACAATAATTATTCATTCAAAATATTTCTCCTTTTCTGATAGGCTAAAATCCCACGCATAATTCATTACAACCAGCTACTGTTAGCAAAATTGGAAGAATTTTGCGAAAAATGAAGTAGCATAATTGCCATAACACTGCACACTCAGTTAACCGAGAAAACCTGGGGACGAGATTATTAGTTTTTTTGGTAGTGAATACAAAATAGCGGAACCTTTCACTCGTTTCAAGAGGAAGAAATAGAAGAATAGAAGACCTAATGGCTAAAAAGAAAGCAAGAACGGCAAGAAGACAACTCGACGGACGACATCTGCTATTTGGATAATATTTGCAGTACTGAACAACCCTTTATCCTAAACTTGCCGATAACCAGGCAATTGAAGAAGACCTTAATATCGACGGAGGCAAGCATGCTTTGGCTTGTTTTTAACCTAGGAATTATTTTGAATAAATAATAAAACAATTATTGTACTCGGCTTTCGTATCATTAGAAGAATTACGGACATCTTGGAGGGTGTTATCCGCCCCGGCCGATAACACCCTCCTCGATCTCCATAATTCTTCGGATGACACCAAGCCTCATCCAATAGTAATTGTTAATTATGATCTCAGGTACCGCTGGTGATGCACTTGGTTATCATCGTGGTATGTCATTTTCCACCAATGATCGTGATAATGACAAGTTTGGTAGCAACTGCGCCTTGATATATAAAGGCGCCTGGTGGTACAAAAATTGTCACTGGTCCAACCTGAATGGTCTGTACCTCAATGGTAAGGTCGATGTCAATGGAGTGACCTGGTACTACTGGAAAAACAGCAACTATTCTGTCAAGAGGTCCGAGATGAAGATTCGACCGAAAGATTTTTAAGATGTCGTTGTTATAACTCATCAAGAACCTCCTCGAGAAGTAAAAGTGATCAAGTTAACTTGACTATAAGGGGTAAAAGGACTTCTGCTTTCGTTTTCACCTTTTTGGTAATTTTATACATGAGAAAAAGGATTAACTTTATCAATTTCATACCGATAGAAAAATGCATTACCATAAATATTCTTATTACTTTACTTTTAACTATTCTATAACAGACATGCTATAATTAATAAATGTACTTTAAAACGCAAGAGACTGTTGACCGTATTCTTTGTTTTGCTTATTTAAACTGAAAAGAACAGAAAAAACCAAAAAACTGAAGTTGCGCTCATTCCAAGTTCGTCATACCAACTTGCTTTCCTTTTAATTTTGAGCTTGAAAACAACGCATTTTGTCTCATGCCTGGTCACTCAGTTATTGCCCTTAGTTGTTTTGCTGTCCCCCAAGGGCGGTTGAAGCTTCTGACTAATAAAATCCATTATTAACCAGTACTGTCTTGTAGAATCGCTAAGTGATAGCTAAGGCAATATATTCCTTAGTCCCTCACATACGAAATTGAATAGGAACAGTTATGCAATTTTGTCACTTACCTTCACGGGGAATTCAAACACTTTGACAAATCCGAAATCATCTCCAGTTGCCAAAATCTTCTTATCCTTGGTTAAATCAACACTGTTGACATCAGTGATATCTGAGTGTGGAGGCCAGATTCCTGTACAGTTCTCACCCAGCACGCTTGTCCACGTGGACCACTCAATCTCGTTAGCTTTATTAGTTCCAATTGTCTGTCGAGTACCACGTGGTGCCTCATAGAACAAACGCTCCTTAGCACCTGAGTTGGTTTGAAGAAGCTTTCCTAAAAAGCCATGAAGTGTTGCTACATTTTCTACTATAAAGTTGAAACTCGTAGCTTACAAATAACACGAGAAGCTATAAATCACGTTGGAGATTAACAAGTTTACGTATATTTTGTGCTCACACAGAATTAGCAAAAAGGCTAAAACTCTTGTTAATTATGAGACAAGCTTTGTAATTAATGTATCCTGTTCTATCCGATGTTATCTTTAAGGAGACCTGCAAGGAAGCTCAAGAATCACGAAAGGGCCCCCTAGACTGTCGCGATTCCCTTTTTGGGCCTCAGTTGGAGCGGTGTACCTGCCGGTCATTTTTATTCAAATTATTTCAAATTTTGTTGCGATATATGTGTCTCGCTTTTTCCATTTGCTTGTTAAGTCTCTCCGCTTGCGATATTGTGGCGAAGTTTATAAAACGACAAAAAGGTAAATGATAAAATAATAAAGTTGACAGCTTGCTCGTACGCTAAGGATAGAGGGCGATTAAAAATGCACCATCACCGGAAAGTAAAATCTACTTGCAGCGCAATATCAAAAAATTTTTGACGGTCATAACAGGAAAAGGTAACGTAATACTGACAAGATAGTGTAAAAGGGGTATAGGCACTCCACTTTCATACCAAATTCAGTAGAAGCTGTTTTGAAGCAGTACATCAGAGTATAGGGATTGATTCTTACCTTTAGAGTCCCAGTCCACATGTGTGACGTAGCTAGAGCTTCCTTTACAAATTCCAACTCTTTTACTGCTCAACACATTGTAAATGTCCACAAAATTGTCATGAGATGCTACTGCCAAATATTTACCTTGACCTGTCAAAAAAAATACAAAGATAACATTCGATAATGAACGATGAAACAACTACCCATATTTTACAGGCCTAGAACTACACCCCTGGACTCAGTTGTTCAAAAGCTGGATAGTGCTATCCACTGGATAAATCACTATCCAGCGGCTCAGAAATTAGGGAAACCAATTGCACTATCCACTGGATAGTGATTTATCCGGTGGGTAGTGTTATCCGCCTTTTGAACAACTGGGGAATGGTTTGCAGAGTTATCTTTAGAACTATTTAGCGTTTGTTTCTAGGGAAAAGAAGACGATTTATATACTTTTTCAGAATTAAAATTGAATTTG